TTTTATTAGACTTTGATATGATAATCTGATATGATTGGTTATCTAAACGGGATCTGACTTTAAAAACTTTGACTTACTTTAACATAAGCCTACCCTTTTTTGCTCCGTGTACCATCTCGCTTCGCTGTGTCGATACATGTGCCAGGCTAATGAATTCCTTCAGGAAGAGTTTGCCCCGAGTTTTGTGCTTTTTAACAACTTAACATAGTTTTGGTGTCGGGTCTCGAGTTTGTTGCCTGCTCATGTAAGGATGTAAGTACAAAATAGCATTTTCCTTAATGGAAAACCTCCGCCTAGACTCACAACTTTGCATGTATGCGGGATATTAACACGGAAAAACCAACAGCCAAAACAGCGAACTACAAGCTGCGTTGGTGTTGGCTGAAAGTGCCGGCCAAGAAGAGGTCGTCGTTGGCGGGCGGGAAGGTTCAAAGGGCAAGGATAAGGACAAGGACGATGATGATGATGACGGCGATGATGATGATAACGATGATGGCTGTGTTAATGGCCAGGCATTATTCAGAGCCTCATTCTCAGATTGTCACACAGCGATAGGGCAGAGGGCGTGTGTGTGTGTGTGTCAGTGAGAGTATCTAGATTGCCCAGAGTGGGAGGTTAAAGGGAGGCCCAATTTCTACTGGCCATGTCAAAACTCATTTGCCGTTAACGAGCAGCCATTGTGCTTATAAAAGGATTATTTACAAATCACTGACTTTCAAAAATTGTCAACTGCAGGGCAAAATGCCTGAGAACCCCCTCCAATTCGCCTGCTTTGATGTACAATTTATGGAATTAACCCTTAAGTGCTCGCCGGCATCAGACAGCAGCCGTTGGATCAGCGCTCCAGTTGATTTCTTTCAGCTGATTGCGGCTCAAACGGAAACGGATCTGCCGCCCTTCCAATCATCAGTCAGCCATCGTCTAACAACAATTGTGACTTGCAAATAGATTTTGCAATTTACAATTTCATGGCATTCTAAATGGTTGACTAACTAAAAGGGAATGAGGTAAACTTAAAGAGTCTGAGGTCTCGGTTATGCCCAGACCCTCTTAATTTGTTGCCCTTTGTTTGCCCTGTGGTCACTCTAATTGGTGTTTGCATGTGGCTCTCGAAGTCTTGTGCAAACACGAGATTCTGGCTGACCATCAGCGGAAAGGAATCCCACCTCTGCCTCGGTTTACCCACCACCTCCTTGGCTTCTTTTGTAATTTTGCGTGCGTTGTGTTTGCTCATTAAACGGATTTAGCCAGGCGCAGATTGGGTTGATATCCACATTGATTGTGATCGATTCTGAATGCTCTATAGAAGGGAAATTAAGGTGGAAAAGTCATAGAAACTTAAAGGGATTTGAAAATACTATAAGCTCTGTGAGAAACTTATTCAGGAAAGTTAAAGTAACTTGGAAAACTCATGAATCATCGTTAAATTTGACTAAAAATACTAAGAATTTCTTTAAATATTTAATCTAAAGCGAACCAAAGAGTAGCCCCATAACCACATATAACCTCTCTCCAATCTGACCCTGGACAGACGTCATCAATTAGCAGACCGCAAGTCGAGTGGCTAGCCAAGTTTGCGGAAAAAATTGACAACTAGGGAGCGAGTGTTGGGACCAGGCCTAATGAGCAAACCAAAACCGTCGGCATGGTCTTAACGCCACTTGCAAAATCACATGTCAAAAGTTATTAGTCTGGGCGTGTAATTTGTGTGCCCGGGCTGATTACCGAAATGTACATGAAACAAATAAACAAAGTCATTTGGCCAGGGCTAGCGAAGGAATAACAAAAATACGTTGCCAGGATGTTAGGATGTTGCTGTGTAGCTGCTGTCATTGCCAAAAATCCTGGGCCAAAGTTGCCCCTCGATTCATGCTGTCAATATCGTGGCAACATATTTCCTCGCTTAATATTTTCTTCTTTTTTTTATATTTCTTGCCCTGGCTCCTGTCGCTATTTCAGTTGCTGTTACTGTCTGCGAGGACGTGAGGGCGTTAAACTCATACATCACTTTATCCCGGCTACAGCTTCGGCGCCCTTATCCTGCCTGCTGTGTCCTGGGACGTTGGCAGGCTCCCTAACTAACTGCCGCCTTGCCTGCTGTTTGTCTTGGTCTGGCGCGTTTTTCTCGCACCGCGATGTGTGTCAAGAGTTGCCAATAAAGTAGCAGCAGCAGTAGAAATAACTGCTTACCAATCCCAATTCTCAACCCGATCCGGGACTGCAGAAAAGAAGCTATTGAAAATAAATTTATAACGCATACGTCATGTGATCCAAGACAGAGTTCGCAGTTTATTGCATTTGTCGCTGGCATTGCAAAACTTCAATAAATTATTTTATTGCGACAGTTATTTTGCTTGCTTTTGCCCTCTCTCGATTGGGTTTTTATGAATTTGTTCAGCTAGCAAGCATATAGCCATGAGCATAAGTACGATATATGTATCTATATCGGAATCCATCCTGGCAATAGAAAACTTTCTGTCAGTTGGCATTTTCGTTCATTTGGCACTCAAGTCTTTGGCAGCGAAATTGCAAATGACTTTATGAATTTGCTGTTATGACTTGGACAAGCATCGATGACCTTTGTAGGGGGACGAGATATATAATCAACCTTATACCGAGATGAAATTGATTCCGCATGAGGCATAAACCGGGAATTGCATAATAAATTTGTGCAAGAGCATAATGTTTCGTTCTCTTTAAGATGGAAAAGGGAAAACCATTAGACAATTGCTACAAAACTGAGACGGTTTATTAGGCATAACATGTTGATTGATGCGAAGACAGGCGATCATATTGTGGCCAAATCAACTCCCATACCCATTTCAATATTGGGTATTAAACACACTTTGTCACTCGTAAAAGGCCAAAACACTTTCGTTCCCCTTCATCAAAAGTTGACACTTTGCGAGTTAACCTTTAATGAAAAGGCCAAACAAGCCAAGCTGCCTCGAGGGCTCATTGTGAAATTACCCAAAGCGTAAAGTGGGCGAAAACGACAGGAAAAAATAAGAAATAAGAAAATGGAACTCTGGCTGACTGGTAGAAGTAGGTGGTAGTAGTAGTAATATGGCCAAAGGCTATGAAACTCTCCCTTTTTCACACTGCTTGGCTGCCTGGCACATCCAAGTCAAAGAGGCAATAAGTAGCAAAAATTACGCTAAACGTGGCAATTTCCTCGCAAATTGCACAATATATATACAAAGGCGAGTTCTCTTATACCCTACGCATGTCTGGGCTGTAAGTCCTTAGTCTACTCAATTTGACTAAAGAGAGGAAAATATGATAAGTAACCAAGGTGAGATCTCAAATACTCTATCTTATCAAATAAGAGAGATAAATAGTAAAAAATAAGTATTTCTGTTATTTAAAACTTCAAAGTATCCCAAACATTAAGATCTTAATACGCATTCTCCCTCTTAAAAGGTCATATAACCCATACATGCAAACATCGTTCAATTAGGGTAACAAATTGCTGATAAAAGTCTGCTTAAACCTGCAAAAAAAGAGAGTATAATAAGGGCCCATGGAGCAGCGTGGCAGGTATTTTTCATCCGTCAAAGTACAACGTACACCCATAAATGACGCTCTGCAGATGGCCAGGTAAAATCCGGGTTCAGGTGGCAAGCTTGAAGCCTGTCAATTTCCACATGGCCCCACATGTATGCCACGATATGGGGCAGATTTTCATGTGGCATGGGGTCAGGTGGCAGCAGCAACAGCGGCAGCAGGAATCGGGCGATATTTTAATGCGTGTCATATTTGATTGATGCCAGCGCGGCACAGAGCGGAGCCCGTGGAACAATGTCAAGCGTTTAACATTGCCCCGAGCGCCACTCAAAATGTCAAGGCAGTGGGGGGGAGGGGGTCACCTCAACCTCCTGGCTTTAACCTTCCCAGTTACCCAGTCATTTCCGCTCTTTCTCTTCCCCTCTCTCTTCTTCTCTCTTTTTTCGCCGTGCAAAATTGCCCCTGCAGGTATGCAATGAAAAAGTGCGTAAGGGAAACCCATTGTTCCTTTGTATGGGAGTCTGTTGTATGTGTGTGGGTGAGTGAGTGCCTCTGTTTTGTGTAATTTAACATGACAGTTTGTTAACAATTTTATCAGGCCCGAGATGTTTCGCCTACCGAATAAGGGAAATCGCTTCTAGAGCTGTAAATACAGTCGAGTGCGTGTGTGTGTGTGTGTGGGTGCCATAATTTATGCCCAGACTAAGTGCATTATGTTTTGGTACTGGGGCTTTTAGTTGCCCTCCCCCTTTATCAGAGCCCCCCAAGGCAGACTCAATTATTTGTGGCAATTGGCAGCGGCAGTTGGCGCAACTAATTTGACTTGAGCGGCATATTGTAGGCAAACACAAGGAAACGTATGAGCTTGAACGCAGAGGCTTTTATTTAATTATGGTTCTGGGTACACTACAGTACAAAATGTTATAAAGCTTCATGAATAGGAAATGGTATACAATGTAGTTTAAGAGAATTAACCATGGAAATTCACATCAAACACATAGTAATACTTTACTCCTTAGAAAATAAGTCATTCATTACCCTTAACTCATACCTAAGATATATAATATAAATGTGAAGTTGAAGATCCTTTGTCATCTTCCTGCTTTAACCTTTCGTAGCAGTGTAACCTGTAGTTAAGTTATGGTTGCTATTACTTAACCGGATAAGCGAATTAACCCCTTAAATTATTAACCCGGTGACTTGACCAACCGCTAACCCCCATCCAACGCCAACATCAATGTAGCATCATTAACCGCTCTGACTCTGTGCATTTTCCACCCACTCTATATCAACCGATATTCATCTAATTAGCTCCACCATAACCTCCGCACCCTCTCTATATACATATAATGGCATTCATAACCTCCACCTCCACCTCCCCCCTCTCACCCACATACGATTCACTCTGCCAAAAAAATAGAAAAAAAAGAAAAATAGAAAATTTGGCCAAGTGTTTTACCTTTCTCTGCTGCTCGTTTCTCGCTCTTTTCCAGGATGGACAACGCGGCCATTTAGAGGGCCTGGCATCCGTCTATTGTGAGTTGCTAATGGCTCCCTTCGGGGACATTTTGGCGACGCTCGAGCAGGCACGCCAGGCGGCCTGGGCGGAGCGGAGTCCGTTGCACAGTACCCAGTTAATGGGCGGCGGAGGAGGTGGGGCTAGCAGTAGCACGGGCAGCGGTAGCGGTGGTGCGGCCAGCGGTGGCAGCGGCGGGAGCAGCGGCATCCTGCACCACCGCCAGCAGCATGGCCATCGGGGCCATTCAATGCACGGCGCCGGTCTGCCCAATAGTCATAGCCAGCCAATTTATGTGCCCGGAAAGTATTCGGTATGTATGATGATGACCCGGAACCATCCAAAAACCAACCAAACACCCACCCACCCATTCTCCCGGCTCCTTAATCACCAAGAAAAATATAAAAAGAATGACTCCATTAGCGGGCCCCCCTAAGGAAAATATTTACAAAAATCAAGAGAAGAAAGAAGAATTTTTCCAAAAATACAAAAAAATAAGAAAACAAATTGATGTTGGCGTTGCTTAACAAAAATAAACGAAAAAGAAAACCATTAAGCATCTATCCGAATAAATTTTGATTTAATTGTGTGTAAATATTTTTTGCTTGCTTGCGTACTCCACTTTCACTTGCATGTCTTGTAGTTGTGTGTGCAATTTTCCTTAATAAATTATAAAAACAATAACAAATTTTCCAACCCCAAAATAATTTACAGCCTTCGAGTTGTTTGTCGGACAAGGAGGAGGACGAAATCTATGGCTTTGGCTATGGCGTTTTTGCACCCCGCGTGGGCAGAGGTGGGTTAACGCAACAGCAACAGCTGCTGCAGCAACAGACACTGCAGACGCAGCAGAGCATACAGCAGCAGCAGCTGCAACAGCAACAGCAGCAGCAACAACAGTTACCAATTGTGCCAGGCCAGCAGCAGCAACCGGGAAATGGTTCCCATCAGCATCAGACTCTGCCACCGAATGTCGCCCATTTGAACTTTGTGCAGCAAAAGTGAGTTTTAAATATATAAATAATTCGAATGCTAATCAAAATTCATTTCTATGCAGCTGCCTGAGTCCACGTTCTGCTTATTTCTATGAATTTCCACCGACAGCTGGTAAGTTGAATGGTGAAAAATCCAGAAAAGTGAAATTCTTAAACTTGCAGAGGATTTCTAAAGAGTTTTTTGTAAGGGAGACAGTCTTTGTAGTTAGTAAAGAGCTTAAAAGAATTTCTTAGGATTTAATTTTTTCTATTTAAACAGGAAAGAAAAACTGATAAAGTTCTAAGAAAATGTAAAGTGGGTTACCTAGTTAAAAATTTTATTTTATGAAAGATATCTGTTAGCTGTTCTTAAATAATGTCACTTAAATATTATAGACTTTATATTAAGAAGACAAAATAATTATTTTTTAAGTAAACTTCTACTTACTTACTTATTTATTTAGTTTAAAAACTTCTCTAAAGTTCTTCCCCCTGCAAGGTTATAAAAAAAAAAGAAAATATGTAAATCAGCCGCTGACTTGAATTCCCTTTACTAATTCAATTTCTTTACTTTATTTTCCACCGACTTTTCCCCCGGCGACCAGCAGAGGGTCGCGAAACAAAGAAACGCACCACACTGGCCCGATTGCTGAAAGGCTTGAAGACTGTCAATCGACGGGATCGGAACAATCAACAAAATGCTGCCCAGGCCAGGGTAAGTAAAGTACTTTCTCAAACTCTTACAATACTTTCTCCCCCCGCCATCTTGTCTTCCCCTTCGAATGAAACTCATTTTCGCGCTTCGTTTTATGACCGCAAGCAAATTGTTTGTCCTGTCCCGCAACTTTCTGTGTCCCCAGCCTTTCATTTGAATCAACTGCTGCGGTAATTCTTTCAATTTATTTGCTCGCATTTCGTTTGGTTTCCTTGACTTTCCTTTCGTTTCGTTTCCCTTGAACATTTCCCAGCAACTCGCCTAGGCTGCCATTTTATGACTTTCTGCGTCTTGACTTGAATATTCCGCAGTGTGCCTGGCAGTGTGTAGTATATACTTAATCTTGGCCCTGGGGACATGTAAATTTTTATGCGCGGAGCGCTGTGCCCAGCATCTTCTCTTTTTAGCCGGCTGAAAAGGTTAAAAATGTTTTGCCAGCGGCCATGTCTACATTGCCACTTCTCATTCTTCTTACTGCAGTTTCCAGTTTCCTTCCTTCAATCGTACTCCTCCTCCTCTCCTTTTTGGAAGTTGTTGTACAGTCGCTTTATCTGCGCCGCTCACAAAGGATTCATTCAGCGCCTTTGATTAGAGCAACCTTTGGGGAAAAGCATCAGGATCAGAGGCGGCTGTGGAGCATCTGGAGCAGCAGAGCACCAGAACAGCGGAGGCACTATTCTTGGCAATGAAACTGCGGCCAGGAGCAGAGATAACATGGAACAGGACGGCGACGCTGCTCATAAATAAGCAAGGACATGCATAAATTTTTCACAAGCAGCAACAGAAAAGAATAAATAAAGGGGGTGGAGAAGTGAAGGAGGGGAAGTGGCGGAAAAAAATATAAATAATAAACTGCTTGAGGGGGTAAAAAAAAGGGAGAGAAAATGAAGAAGCAGAAGAAGAGCCAGGACCTGCTACACAGATACACAGATAAGCGCAGGAAATGATTAAGGATATGTGCCTAAGTAGCGGCATCCTACTCAGCAGCCGTGGCCTTTCAAAATATAATTAAACAGCACTCACCTGGTGGCATGCCCCACCTGATTTGCTATTTATGATAAGAAAACAAACGCATTAAACAGCAGCGGGGACCGACCCTAGCCAAGGCGCGAATGAGGGTCGAGTGAGGGTGACCCTAAACCTGACCCTTGACTCGTTATTAATTAAAAATTAAAGCCCCACTGAAAGGTGTGAAATACAAAATGGCGTCCTAATGGCGATAAAGCACGTTGCTTTGGCCCCCTTTCAAGAAGTCCTTGATTTACGAGCAGCCCCTTTTCAGCCCCTCTATATAACCCCTTCTTCAGTCCTCCCTTCCTCTGTGCATCCCTGAAAAAGTTAATAAGCCATGCGGATTGAAGGCGCGCGCACACGCCACACCTTCTATTCAGCCTGAAAATGAATTTAAAACTTGGCCCCAAATTGATTCTCCTTGTCTTTTGAATTTACCATCTTGCAGGCGGCCAACGATCGTCTGAGGCACTTTCAAATGATAAACGGCGGCGCCGGTGGACAGCAGCACAGCTTCGAGGAGACAATCCACAGGGTGAGTACAATAAATAGGTGGATGCACTGATAAGCACGATAAATGTGAAGTAATAAAATATTTTCAAAGGAATTTCAAACTGCTTTGGAAAGTCTGAACCCAAAAACATTGCAGGAAAAACCTCAAACTATTTAAGATCTAGTTTAGTCTTCGGTGTTGCTTAGAAATGCGCGTGTTTTAAGTTGGTTAGAATAAAATAGTCGCATAAATATTTATGCCGCAAATTTAACAAGCTGCTGTTGCTGCCGCCTGCCTGTGTGTTGCAACAGCTGCGACAGCCAACAAAAATTGCGATGCAACAAAAAAATTTGCACAAACTGCAGCAACAGTAGTGGCAGCAACAACACAGGGTAAACTTTCGCCAAGCCAACAACGCTCTCCTCCTTTTTGACTGCATTTGCAATGCAATTTCAACACGAAAGCTGCGGCTGTTGCTTTTGAGCACGTTTACCTGTAATGGCATGCCACCACCAGCAACAACAACAACAACAACAACAACAACAACAACAATAGCAACAGTAGTGCTGCGGGGCTTTCAAAGGAAGAGGAAGAGGAAGTGGCAGCGTGTGGATGCATGCAACATTTAAAAGTTCATTGCCGTCAACATTCATTATTAATGACAGCGCGCACGGCGCCAAACTAAAAACAAGCAGCAAAATGCAATCAACGGCGACAGCAGCAGCAGCAGCAACAGACAGACAGCAGCAACACCTGCAACAGCAACATCAGCAACACTAGCAACACCTGAAGCAACCAGCAACTGTAACAATAGTTAGCAAAATGCATAATGCATAACCGAACATAGCCCATTGCCTTCCCTTTCCATTTGCCACCCCAAAAAGTGTGCTTTAAATTTTTGTTAGCCAAGAAATTAGTCGCCGCATATTCATAAATAAACAAAGTCACTCAGCAAACGACAAGCTAACTTAAACGCAAAACCATTTTCCAATTTTCCATTGCAGTTGAAAGTACAAGAGGCCATGCGGAAAAAGGAAAAATTTCAACGTGAACACGAGGAGGTAAGTGACTTCAGCACACATCCCGAAATATATATATTATACATATATATATCCTGACCACAAGGCAAAGATTTATGCCTTCAAGATGTCTATTCCAAAATTGATAAATGCGTATGGCAAACATTTGCAGTGGCCGAGGATAAATCAAGCATATTTGCTCTGGGCACTTTTCACAAATTAAATAAACATAAAACACTCACAGCCCAAGGGGTGGACTGAAGTTAGTGGGAGTAGTAGAGTAGGCTGCACTATTAATTTCACAGATTTCTTGGCCTGATATTTGCATGCATTAAATACACAAAAAGGACGAAACAGTTGCAATTGCACAGGCCAAGAGGTTTTGCTTGCATTTCCTTGGCCTCTGGCAAACAGTACGGTTCAGAGACGTAAAATCAGTTTTTTTAGGTAGATAAATAGAGCTGAAAGGATGATTCAAATTATTGCCATAACAGCAAACCATAAAAACAATAATTAAGATTCTTAATCAAATGAAACCCAGAAAAATATATAAAAAAGTTTACGTGCCGCACAAAGCCCCCTCATAAAGTAAAGAACTTCCTTCTAAAAACTATGGAAAATCCATTCATAAAAATTTGCCTAATTGTGAAAGACATAAATGCAAGCTAACTTATAGTTGTGACACGCACTGTTTGCATTCGAAATTTGTTTTGGCAATTCTACATGCACAAGCCAATTAAAAAAGCTATTAAAAATATTTGATATAAAAACAGCAATTATTCCAAGGCATAAAAGCCTGAAGACCAGGCCGAAAGCTCCGGCTGCCAAATAAATGTGTGCCACTGTGTGAGTGTGTGTGTGTGTGTGTGTGTGTGTGTGAGAGAGTGGCGAGCAAACATGCAAAACAGACACAGACAAAATGTTAAGCACACAGATACAAACAAGCACACACAGATAGACACTCCCCCCAAAACGAGGCAACAAAAACAATGAAGTGCAACGTGGCGAATGATAAACTTTGGTCTGTCATAAAAAATAAACAAAAAAAAGAAGAAAAATACTTTCCACACTCTTGAAAACGTTGTCCAAACCAAGGACATGATAAAAACGAATGGGTGTGTCTACTGTAGAAGAGAGAGGGAGAGAGAGAGAAAGTAACTTATTTATTTATTTATATGCCCAGAGAGTTAAATGTGAAAGCCAAGCAAAATATTTCATGTTGATTGCTTGATACTTCGCCTGATTGATAACAAAAGCCTCCTGGCTTCAGCAATAAGCCTTCTCGGAGAGGTAGAGCTGAGATTTTTTGCTCGGATTTAAAACCAAAATCGATTAAGGAAATCATTACTCCCACAGCACTCGACATCCTCAATCAACTTGGCAGCAGCAGCCGCAGCAGAAGCAGCAGCAGGCATAGTTAATTATGCCAGTTATCAGGCTCAATGATGGATGCACAGCATACTGATGCGAACTTATAAGAGCAGAGAGGAGATACACTGAGGCAAATTAGGATTGAATTTTATTATTTTAGTGAGATAAGATATCTAAACCTAATTGCTTGTATATAACTTACCCTAGTGGCTCAGAAGTATCTTTCCTTTAACCTATCTCCGATAAAAAGTATAAAGTATGAGCCTAGATAGTTATCATAAACTTTTTCTCTCAGTGCACTCACACAAATTGCGTTGCTGCACGACAATTTGTCGACTGTTTGCCAGTCCAGGAAAATGTGTGCTCCTAAGCAAGGGCAATAATTTTTGTGCATAAATGAAAAGCACACAGAAAGTTGGTGGTTCTACGATGTATACTAGATCAGGGTAGGGTATGGGGAGTGGGCTGATGGTACTTTCTAGAGGAGGGCCAGGGGTGTCGCATTGTTATTGTTGTTAGTGCTGATGCTACTGCTGCTTAACTTGTGCAAACAACATTCTGTTTGTCTAATTGTAATTGCTGTTTTTGCAGCCCCCTCATGGAAGGGAGTGGAGGCTGCCTGCTGTCTGTTCAGGCCTTGTTTTCCATTTGGCCAGGAGAAGCTGGAAAAAGAAAATGTACGAGTATGTGTGAGCTGAGCAACATGAAATATTTATGATGGGAGTGGGCTAGAAATTTTCTTTGCATTTGGCCAGGCAATTAAGCAGGCGGACCCTTGCTCCCCTTCCCATGCCGGACCTCAGATGTGATTAGAATTGTAAGAAAAGTTCCCCGAAGTTCTTCTTGGGGGCCACGTAAATTTCAATTTGGTAACGAATGGTAGATGCTAGAGCATCTAACCAATTGTGTGCGGGAGTGGACCATATAACAGACCCGAATCCATGGCCATTTGAATGCATTTTTAATGCGACTGGCCAAAAAAGCTTTTAGCTAATTTTTCAGCGCCCCGCTTTTATTGCCAACTGTGTCTGTGTCTCTGTTTCTGTTTAGCTGCTGTTGGCGCTGGCCCTGGCATGCTTTTCGCTCTTTTCGACAGCAGAAACATTTTCATATATGCTCTCGGAATTAGTATGCAGCGCACATAGAATGCCATTATGCTGCAGGACACTCAGGACATGCCGTGCCCAAAAAATAATAAAAAGAACCTGAAAAATAGAAAACAAGTAGCACATTCTATGCAGTAGTAGTAGTAGTAGTAGTTCTCGTTCTGCTGTGGAAATTGTTTTAGTTTTCAAATGGAATTTTGTAATTTTAACGCCTTTGCCCGAGACGGAGACAGCGACCGAACAGACTTGGCTAATAAGATGCCAGCTGTAGGAGAGCAAGGAAAAGCCAAGCCAAGCCGAAAGTTGACAACATTTCGTCCTTTCATTTTGCACAGCAGTCACGTTTGGCATGCAGACAAAGTGCTGCCCAAATAGGAGCAAACATGCATACGAATCTAGGAATCCAGGGGATGGTGAGAACCACCCAGGCGAAGGCGTTGACTTTAATATGGACAAGTTTTATTTAGTTACCATATATAGAGTCTGACTGGCTCACAGAGGGTGCCAAAAAGTTGCCAAAACAGATCTCCTTTGACCATATACACTTGCCACCTCACTGATTAGTCATGATTAAATGACATTAAGGAAAATAGCCACAAATAAACTATGTTTAAATCACTTAAAATTTATAACTTATCAACTTTGTCAACTAACACAACTTTGTTTTATATCCTTGATAGATCCTGCGTGACATTCGACAGGGTTTGTTGCAAATGAGTCGCGGCGAAGGACGCATGGGTGAGTACCAAATAAAAAACACAAAAGAAAGATATACAGAAGGAAAAACTAGCAGGAACGAGAGAGTGGAAAATCTAGGCGAATGCCCCGAAAAGTATGCAGCCAGGAATTTTACACTTGAAGTGCTTCTGTTGCAACTTGCAACTGCAACAGCAGCAGCCTTGGGGGCGTGGCTGGGGCCGCCCGTCTGGCGAGCGTCACATGCATAAGCGAGCATAAAATCTTATGTCCGTTTCCGGACCAAAATCCGTACATAAGCCCCGGACTTCAGACTCCGGAGCAACTTGCTCGGCTCGCATGTGGCAAATGGCATTGCAAGTTTTGTGTGCAACGTGGCGTATAATAATATTGTGTTGCAACCATTCTGCTGGCTCTGCACATTTTTCGGTCGCCAGCAAAAAAAAAAAAGTAAAGTTTTTAAAGTTTCTCCTCCTTCCTGCTAGTTTTTTTTTTCTCTTTCTTTTTGGAACTAATCCTAAGCCTTACTTGCGGCTGGCTAAACTCCGGTTTATTTCCATCTTCCAGACGATACGTACATGTACGACGAGGCGCTGAGGACGGGTGCCGGCATGGGCATCGCCGGACTGGGCATGCCCATCGGAATGGCCGGAAACGGTGGAGGAGGCGGAGGAGCGGCCCATTATGCGGTGAGTGCGCTGCATCATCAAGGTCATTGGTACGACGAGCCGCCCTACGAGAGTGATCCCGATGACTTTCTCATGGCCGGGCTCAACTGCGGACCAGCTGCCACTATTCAGGTGAGTGATTTAGCCTTAAAATTTTAGAGAAAAATATGTCTCAGAAAGGACTTAAGTTCAAGGAAAAGAAAACCATTTTGAGCTGTAGAAATTTGATATTTTATCTGTGATTTGAGACACTTTTGGTGACTTGTTCAAGGCGGCCTGTCTTATCCCCTTGAATGGGAAAAAAACCCAAAATTGGCAGCGGCAACATTGTCGCAGTTGTAATCACATTTGAAATTTATGCGCCGCATCCTGAGACGCCGTGAATCCTGGTTACTGGGCGGACTCCTTCGAGGCCGAGGGCCAAAACCCGATCCAATACCAATACCAATCTCAACTGCAGCGCCCGCTTTGATTTCTCTGAGGAATTTGCCAGCCACAAAAGTTGTGCGGGAGTTTCCACTTCTACATATATTTCGAATTCCTTTTTTTTTTTTTGGTTTTCCTTTAGCGATTTTCGCTTTGTGGCTTTTCCTTTTCTATTTGCTTTATTAAATTATACGCTGAATATATTTTTGTACTGGCGCATTGATTTCTACCCACTTCGATTTGTATGTCCATGTCCTTTGGCATTTCGTCGTTCCTTTGCTGTGTGTATAACCCCAGGACAAACTGCGACTCGAACTCACTTTATTTTTATTGACAGTCAAAAAGTGCATAATTCTTGTTGACTTGCTCGACTTTGACTCTCTTACTCTCTCTTGGTTTGATTGTGGATTGATTCTGGGGATGAGGGAGGAAAACTCTGGGAAAGACGTCGCCGTCTTGAGACTTTTCCTTTTGCATAATTTTCTTTGGCCCTTGGTTTTTTTTTTGTCAAAGTCTCAGGGAGTTGCGCTTTTGTGGGAACGCATTAGGCAAGTTATCGGGGGAATTTGTTTTCTTAGTCAATTGAAATCACTCAACGCTGAAGCCTTCGAGAAGGCAGGCCCCCAACTCCCTCCAAAAGGCATTTTGTGTGGGCCTCTTTTTGGCTTTACCAGGGCCCCTTTGATGTGGCCAAACGAAATTTGTTTAAAATTGAAATGAAACTTTTGCGGTTACCGAAAAAAGGTTAAGCTCGCGTTTGTGGCTGCTTAACGGACCGAAGTAGCCTGAGATAATGCATTGAAATTGAATTGTTTGGCTTTTATTTTTCGGGTCCAGCCTCCTTTGATCAGAGAACTGGACCCGCCGAGAGAAAACATTTCACATGATACGGCGCTCCAATGTCAAACCAATTTCAGACCACTCTGCATACCGTTAATATTGGGGATTCAACCAACCCGAAAGGCGAAAGAACCTTTACCACTCCCACTGCCTGCAAAAAAAAGAAGAAAAATCTAATTCAGATTGGAGCTTTTTCGCAACCAAAAACTTTGCTGCATTGCCTAAATTAAAAACGAGAAAACTTTGCAATTTCCGCTGCCAAACAAACATACGCAAAATGAGAATAAAAAAAAACCCAAGCGGGAAAAGAAAACCAAATTTGTGTTCACTAAATTTAAAATTCCAAGCTAAAAAACCGGCAGCCACATCAAATCACTGCAACAATAACAACAGAACAACAGAGGTACAGTGAAGCCCGACACAGCAGCAAAGGCAAATAAACTCGCTCCTCTCTCTCACGGTCTCGTAAAGTTTTATAACTTTGTTAATTTTTCATAATTTTGTTGCTCTACAGCGGCCAACAAATTCTACTTGAATGCTAATCCCCATGTTGTTCGCACTCTTTCTCCCTCTCTTCTCTTACGAATAAGTGCACTAAAAGAAAATATTAATAAACTTAAAAAGATGATGGAAAATGATGAAGCACAACCTTAAATCTTATAATCTAGTTAAACTCCCCTTTTATCGTAACTAATCCTAGCTAATAATTTCTAAATACATTTCATTTCTCGATTTTAGATGGCGTTTTTTCCCCCAGTGTATGTATGCCCCTCACTCACCGCTCTCTTCTCCACTTCTTTTCCATTCCAGGGTGGCCGTGTTCGGTTCTCGAACAACCGCGAGAGCACGGGCGTAATTTCATTAAGATCCGCCGGAGATATTTCATTGCCGCAACGTGGACCGCCGCGTAGAGGTCTTATCGTGCCGCAGCAGCCGCCAAATCCACCGACAATAATACCCTTAACGCACGCCAGGTGAGTTTGTCCCGCCGCCGTAAGGGGATGGGTAGTGGGGGGAGGGAAGTTCAGATTCAGTGGCAGACGGGATGGCCGGTTGTTGATTGCCATTATTATTTGCAGTTGAGTTGGGCAGTTATGATATGGCAAATACAATTTCCAAACCCTTTTGCCACAGCACTTCAAAAGGGTCAAAGGAGAAGGCGGAGGTGGAGGGAGGGATCATTGAACCATAAAACTGTGCCACAAACGAGCCCAGTGTGGCGTGAAAAGGCCAAGCTTTTGGACCAGCAAACACTAATAGCTGACCAAGGCGAAAGCAATCAAACAGCTCAAGTCTGGCATCTCGTATTTATTTGTCAATCGGAAAAGGTGTACCACCCTTTCTCAATCGACCTCCGACCCCCAGACAGATAGACAGGCAGCAGCAGCAGCAGCAGAGAAAAAAGTCGGGAAATCGGTGAAAAAGGGTAGACTTCACTTCATTAGTGCGGTTATCAACGGTCTGCAGCCAGGCGATTGAATGAGCGACTGAATGAATGAATGAATGGGGGCCTGAATGAGGGAATTAGTGACTGACTGACTGACTGAGTGAGTGAAGAACGGGCAGGAGGCACCAGCTTGACTGGCAGACGGCACACATATCGAAACGCATCGGAGCGAAAGTCATCAATTTCATATTGTTACGCATGCCACACTCTCGATATATACGAATACGAATATATATATAAGGACTATGGATTCTGGATTCTGGATTCTGGATTCTGGATTCTGGATGCTGAATCCAAAAGCAATAAGAGCAAGACAGCGACCGGCCGGGGACACTTGAATGAAATGGCATTATTGCTACTTCAACGCCAATCCATCCACAAGTCAGGGCGCCAGCTCCTCAATCAGCCAGCTAGGTAGACGACGGCAGTCCAGGAGCTGGTGAGGTAGGGAGCACGAGACTGGATCCCATTCCATGGAAAACGAGACCCTGCGTTTTCCACACGTACGCATACAAAAGGACTTGCTGAAATAACTTATACGCCTCGTGCGCCGCTGGGGCCACAAACGAGCCAAACGAAAAGAAAACTTTTTCTTCTCACGAAATGCCAGAAAAGAAAACCCAAATAGAGAGAGAGAATGGGAAAACGAAGGTGGAAAACAAACAGCAAAGGCAACCAAAAGTGAAAATCTCAACAGTGTTGAAGCGAAATGGCAAAAGGAAAGAATCTGCCAAGAAGAAAATAAGAAAAAATAAGAAAAAGATATCAAGTATTTATTTATATGACCTTTGTTTGCCACTCGACCTCGGGTCGTGTATATATCTCCACCTCTCGACCCGACACCTTTTTCTTCCTTTGGCTTATTGTTTGCCATCAAAATGTTTGCCGTTTTTCGATTTTAAAGTTATTTTTTGGGCCATTATAAGGGCGGGCAATTTACAGCCAAGATTATTGGGTATAAAAACGAAAAATGAAAAGTGAAATGGATAGCATTTGAAGGAGACTTGCTTTGTATTTAAAGTTGGGATGATGATGCTTATGAAGGTTTGTTAGAGTTCGATAATCATTCCTAGATCAGTTTCCGTAGGGAAGAATACGTTTTGACTGGCTTATGGAGTGGCTTTAATGATGAAAATGTAATGATTAATCTTTGATCTTTATACTAATTCTGATCCTTTTTTGCAGATCTCATGACCGGGAAAGCGGCGACTATGCGGGCTCCATCTCAGACCTACAAAGCGTTACCTCCAGGCTCAGTGCAGTGTCGGTAAGTGTGGGGAAAGTCCCTGTTCCCCTTCAGACCGGGCTCATTTAACTTGCAGGTTTGGTCGCTCCTCCGACTCCAACAACTCCGAACGCCAACTCCAACCTCTAGCAGCTTTTCCAACTGCATCTGAATGCGTCTAAATTGATTAAGTGCTCTTTGTGACAAACAAACTTCGCATTTGGCCAATGTCGTCTGGTCGAAAATGGACGATAGCTGGAAAATGCACGTAGATAGAGGGAAATAAAAACGAGGAACGCACACAAACTTGAAAAGCTTTTTAGCCAAGTTTTTCCCCGGCTCCCTTGTATTTTTTCCTTGTTTTCCCGTAGCCGGAGTTTGGCACTTAAGCCAGCTAAACGTTGTCAGAATACGAACGGCAAATGCTATTGGTTTGGATTGGTTTGGCTTTTGGAGGGATGTTGGGGTGAGAGTCCTTCGACCATTTCATTTGCAAAGTTGACTTGCCCTAACTTGGCTAATATGGAAACGCACTCAATCCGCTTTTCTCTATCCCCAGATTGGCACCAACAACTGCACGGCCCGCTATAGAACCCTAAGCGGCGGAATCGGGGAATCACCATCGCTGTCGCCCAGTCCATCGTCGGATTACGAGGACATCGGAGTGACCAGGGGCCATGGTTGCCTGCCACCCAGCCTGCTGGCCGCGAAGGCCAAAAAGAACGGAATGCCCCATGGCAAGGCGAACACCATTTGCCAAAAGGCCACGGTGCATCATGTAAGTTAATTAAACGCTAATGCCAAAAGGCGAAAACAGATTGCAGGAGGTGGATTAGGTAGAGGATGGGGATGAGCAAGAGCCACACACAAGTGCATCGGGAGATGCAGTCACGGAGATTTTGTTGACACATTATGTGGCCTGCAAAATGTAATTAGCCATTTCGTTGCTGCTTGCATATGCAATTGGCTTTAGCTAGGCTTTTGACTTTGCTCTTGGCCTAAAACCTCATAATGGCCAAAACTCTTTGGTGCAGCGACATGCACTCTAAATGCAAATGCCAGTTTAATGAGTTTTTATGGCTGGCTTGCTGTGTCGTTTTTGGCGGCGGACTCGTAAAAGTGAAAGTTCATCTCGTGAAAAACTTTCGATGCGATTCGAGGCCTGCCAAAAAATATGAGCAAAGTTTTCCGGTATTTCTAGCACAAGAGCTTAAGGCAAGGCTAAACTAATGCCAGGCAGCGGACTGAAACCAAAAATCCAGCACAGCGAAATATTTGTGAGATGTTTCTTAAAATTATTTCTGCTTTTCCGTACTTTGAAGGTTCTAAAAAATACCAGTAAATTCAGATTCTATCTAGATTTAGTCACCTTATTTGCCAAACCAAAACTTAAATTAAGAAACTTGCATTTAATTCCCCAGCATAAAATGATTTCCCATTTATTTGCCGTGTAGAGAAAGTCAACTCTCATTCTCTCCTCTCTCTGCGTTGATGTATTGGTATGTTCGTTTTAAACTTTTTAATGATTTAACTAACAAAACTTTCCTCCTGTTCTTGTTCTGTTTTCGGTGCTACCCTTCAACATGCAATTTATTGCACAACGATGACGTCGACAACGACGACGACGCAACCAAACACACGGAAAAAATAAATAACAAAAAAAAAAAAACACGGATAACTTTCACTCCGGCTGTGCTTGGGGATTGGATTGGATTGTTAGTCGGGCGAGATGCGTAGCTCGGCAAAGGAAATTGGCGCATTTAATGAGAATGGACGAAACTTTGTTGCCACAAAGGATACGTCGAGGGATTTCAGCAATTCCCAAGATAATACCGACCGTGGCAGCATGAGCGATCAGGCGTTCGCCTGTTCGGCCAGCTCCGTGGAAAGTTTGCCCAGCGCTTCCGGTTCAAGTAAGTATTACGGGTATGCGGATACGAATACGGATAGAGATTGGGATTGGGTTACGGATAGGACTGGGGGATAGGGTTGTGTATCTTTGTCTGAGCTGGCAATTTAGAGTTTTCGGGTTTGATTTTGTCTGCTGCTTCTACTGCTGCTGCTGCACCAAGAGCTGTTGCTGTTCCTTTTCCTGGAAAATTCCCAGACTGCCTTGCTGGCTGGCTTGCATATTGGTCTATTAACAGTTGTAGTTCTTGTTGCGGTTTTTTGTTGCTTCTTCAAATTTTGCCAAACTTAATGAATTTTTAATGCACTTGCTGCTAGTCTCTCTCTCTCTTTTTCTCTCCCTTTCACTCTCTCTGGGGGCACAAAAAAGCCGGGCCAAGTGCCGATGGGCGGGGGGCAGATTGCAATGTCTGGGGCGTGGTTAAATGAAGGGCAACCGCTTCCTTTTTAATGAACAAAACTTTTGGCCAAATAAAAGGCAACACCGGAGTAGAAGGCGGGAGCAAGGCTTAACTGGATGGGCGGGAGCGGGGGCGGAGGCGGAGGCGTTGGATGGCAACTTTGAAAAGTGCAAGGAAAAATACTTTATTTTTCATGTGGCCAGGACACAAAGCAAGGATTAGCCAAAAGCTTTGGCCAGCAAACCAAACAAAAGCAACGCAAAGAAAACAACAACAACAGCAGAAACAGCACACAAAAATAATGGGAAACTTCAAGTGCATATTTGAATATTTTTGGGGGCCACAGTATATGTGTGTGTGTGTGTGTGTGTGTGTTTGAAAATATTTGAAAAGTTTTTAATTAACCAAACGAATGAGTGTGAGTTCGAGCATGCATGGCTGGGTGTTTGGCCATAGTAAATTCTTAGGGTCCTGCGGCTAATTGGCTGTGGGCGCATTAATTGGAAATTTGCCAGGACAAACTTTGGCCCAAAAAAGCAGGGCAAATATTTATCAGAACCCTCTCATTCTTTTGCCCTTCCCCTCTTTGCAGGCACCCAGGCTTTGGTTCGTCCTGGCAGTCCGCACAGCTCGATTTCAGCCGAGGATCGCACCTCGATGGCCAGCTGCATCTGCAAGGCCAAGGCACTTGTGGATAGTTTGCCCAATCCCTACGACAAGGAGGCGCTCAAATTCAAGGTGAGTTTGCTGAAACGATTATGAGATGGAGAGCTTTCTAAAGTACTGAAATATCCTTTACCCATCTACAGAAGGGCGAGCTTATCGATGTCCTGTCGATGAATGCCTCTGGCATATGGAAAGGACGATGCCATGGCCGTGTGGGCCACTTCAAGTTCATCAATGTAGAGGTTCTGCCAGAGCAGCGAATGAAGAACTCCAATAGCAAGACCCTTGCGACCGGCTCCCGGATGGCCAATCCCGGCAATGGCAGTCACAATGGTGGACCCTGTTCCGTGGAGGATCTGCTGATCCGCATTGGACTCAAGGAGTACACATCCGTGTTCGTGCTCAACGGGTAAGTGGTGTAGATGAAACAAATTTACCAACAATATTTTTGTTGGATTGTTTCACCTATCGTTCCATTTGCAGCTACGAGGACCTGGAACTGTTCAAGGAACTGGAACCCGCCGACCTGGACTACCTGGGCATACTCAACCAGGAGCATCGTGCCAAGCTGCTGACGGCTGTGCAACTACTGCATGACATTGAATGTAAGTCGAGATACCAGAAAATGTCCTTTGTTATATCCACAAAATAAAGGTTTATTTTATGCAATGATTAAAGTAGAAAATTGGCGAAAAGTAGGAAAAAGCTTATTATATTTTCGTAATTCTTTACCAAAATGGTGAAATTCTTCATTTGGCTAACATCTTTATTGGGCATAGCTGAACTTCAGAGTGGTCTTTATCAGCTCTTGAAGCAATTTCTGATAAGTTTTATTTAGTAATAAACGATACTTTGTAAAGAGTTTACAATACTTTCAATTGCCGGAGCCCTTTTTCCGAAATCATTGATAAGATAGACCAAAATATTGATTAAAACCTAACCTAACCCACTTTAAACCCCTACTAAACACCACACCCACTACCCACCTTCACACACACATCATGCATACTCACAGCTACAAATTTCGCCCGCACAGGCTCAGATGTGGATATAGCCGGTTCCAGCTCGGAGAATGATGAAGCCCGCCTGAACAACATCAACATTAAGCATGGAGCTTCACCCTTTGGCCGACGGCATTTTCCCCGCGACTCTGGATGCTATGAAGGATCTCCGCTGCCAAGTTCACAGACACCAACGCAGGCGGTAAACTCGACGGACGAGTCGAACAGCCTGGACGATGTGGTGACCAAGTGTTCGAGTGAGATAATGAAGCGGGTGGAGAGCGCCCGTCGTTGCAAGGATAATCCCTTTAAGACCACGCTGCCTGGTGGAGGACGTCTCGGCAAGAAGTCCTTTCTCGGCGGCAACGGCCTTATGGCGGACGATACGCTCACGCGTGGAGGGCTTAGCGAGAAGTCGAGCGATTCGGGGGTCAGCAGCAGTTCGCTATCGTCGGGTCCGCTGAAGAGCAGCACTTAACATTTGCCCACCATACTGGCCCACGAGCTGCTGCTGGGCGTGGGCTCGGGCATGGGTATGGGTCTTGGCCTGGGTCATGGCCATGGCACCACCGGTACCCTGACGCCCCACGGTACCCTGGCTACAGCCACCTCGCCGACTGCCCATTCGGCGCCGTTGGGAAATATCTGCAATACGCTGCCACATGCACCGAGCTCTATGGCCAGCAATCTGCCATTGAACCGGAATCTGGTGATGCTACGAAATCATCTGCGCAAGAATACGAGCGGCGCCGGAAATGGTAGTGCAGGAGGAGCATCCGGTGCTGGAGTGCAGCTGCTGCAGGATCATGACGACAGACTGGAGGATCAATAACCCATTTACTACATCAAATTCTTAGTTTAGTCTCCCGTTGAGTTAAGTGTATTTCAATTGCTGTGATTCGATAGTGAAAACAAAAGGCCAACACGCGTCTTTCAGTTCAAATGTATAGTATGTATAGAGAGAGATAGACAGGCAGTTAGGGAAAGAGAAAGAGAGTAGAGAAAGAGGGAAAGATAGCGAGATAGTCAGAGTCAGTCAATCCTTCCTCCGATAATGTTGGCATTTACACAAAATATTTAACACTTATACATATACATATATATATATATACATATATAAATACAGACTTTACAGACTTATATACATACACATCTGGAGAAAATGAGAAATTTTATATACTTAGTAACTACTTAAGTAACTTAAAATGTTTTAACTATTTTTAGTTAGCCTCAAGCTATGTACGGAAGGAGGAGACTTGTTTGATTTGCCATTTAATGTTTGTTTTCTGTTCAATTGCTTTGTGTATGCATATTTCTCAACGTGATATTGTGAAACGTCCAACTTGAATTGCATTTTACATATAGATTCATTTCCAACGTTTTAATAACAGACACACACACACACATACATAGAAGTTGATTCCTATTTTAAGGCACACTTATCTGGGTGCAAGCAATAGACCAATTCAATTTTAATAACTTAAAACGAAACAAAAATATTAATATTTATACAAACATAAGAAGAACAGAACACCAACTGCCATTCGAAACTAATTTTAGTTTGTTAAACTCGTATAAGGACAATGTAAAGGGAAATCCGTCAGAAACTTGTAAAAATCAATGCCGAAAATTGCCAAAATCGAGCAGACAAAAGTAATGTACGCTAAGCAATATTTTCAAAATCATAGCGAGACGTGTCCGAGATCGTGTTTGTGTATATATATAGGATTACGATCCAGTTAAGATTTATTATGCCACTTATAGAATACATCAAGAAACGTATCCACTATGAGCGATTTAGCGATAATCAAAAGCAGACAATGAAATTAGTCAGGCAGCGCAAATGTTTTTAATCAGTTTCCAGCAAATTAGTTAAATAAATGAACAAAATATTTATCACGGCACAACAACAACAGCAACAACTACGAATAAAATATATATATTTAAATTAAAACTGATTAAAATACATATAAATAGCTTAACCTAGCATAGAGCATACGATTCTAATTCTAATATAGCAATTGACTAAATGTAAATGAGTTTATTCGGCGAACGCTTTGACTTCTACTCAGAACGTAAAATTAAACCTGAACATATTTTGTGAACATAAGATATCGATATTCGTATTGTAACTCAATTAACTCTAATCGCAAATAATTTAAATCAAATTTAAAAAACAAACAAACAAATTGCACGTGTTACAGCCAGACGAAGATAAGGTTAAAGACAGATATATGAGAGTGGAGTATGTGGATTACTGGATTATAGGCATTTTTTAAATTTAACTATCCAAATTATATTTAAGTGTTTCAACTGTAAATTGTAACAAAGTCAACAAAAGAATATTTATATATATTTAGAGACGACGTCGAAACGAACGACGAGAAGCGAACACAGATCAAACACATCCACACAGCATGTGCTAGCATTTTCTAATTATCACTGTAAAATGATGTAATTTAAAGACAGAATATATAAGCAATATTAAAGTTTAGCTTAACAAGGAGCCACAAAATTGATCATTAAGTCAACTCAACACATTACAATTGCAAAACAAAACAAAAACCATTCAAATTCCAATACACAAAGTAAAGAAAAACGAGAGCGCAAACTAAAGTAATCAGAGTTCAGTAAATTTTAGAAGAAATTTTCAAAAACGAAAAACCAAAACGAAGTGGAAAACGATGGTTCATGCTTATGCATAAATCAAAGTAAAATTCTTTAAATAAAAGTGAACATATCTAAAAAGTATATATTGTTGAAATTTATTATTATTCGAGGAAGGGTGGTAACAATTTATATGCCTCGGCTATTACCTTTTATTGACATTGACTTTCCCATACCCTTGGTCCAAGCATCCACATCATTTTCGATGGGCAGAGAGCTCTACTTAAGTGCTATCCCAGCTTTTGATCGGGCAAAAGAGACCGCCTCAATGGCTTTAAGAAGCAATTTGGACGACACTTTAAGTTCCAGGCAATTGGAATTTAGAAAATGACCTCGGGGCAGCTCAAGTGATTCACCTAAGCCCAGCACAAGATCTCTGAAGATGTGTAAACGATCTTCGAACCAGGAACCCTTGAATCTCTCTGACACGCTCTAATAGCCCCAAGCGACTTGGTGTCGGTGACAGTCAATAGATTAGCACAGCGCCGAACGTAATCTGTTCTGATTAAATTTACAGATCTACTCCTTATCCCAGATCCATACTATCTGCCGGCGGTGCTGATGTGATGTGATGATGATGATGATGATGTTTATTCATAGAGTGACAGTCGTTGCTGGCTTAGTTTTTTTACAGCGTCTAGTCGGGCGCCCGGGAACTGAATTTGCGCTTAAGTGCTTTAGTAAATTGTTAAATTGCTTTTGTCTTTCGCTCGGGCCAGTATATGAAAATATGAAAATTGATATTATTGCATTTGCACAAGCCGAGCCAAGTGGACTTCTATCTATCTCATTGCCAGCTACGTGTTCTCGGCTTGGTTTCCAGTCGGACACAGTCACAGTCACAGTTGACATCCAAAAGCGGTAGCAGCTCAAAACCGAGCACCAAGATACTCGTTTATTTAATCTAATAAGCAAATAGAAACAAAGAAGAATAAAAATTATATATGTAGAAAACAAAATTCCAGATAAAATCTCAACGCCAAAGTGCAAGTGCAGTGGGAGTTCTCAAATATGGTCGTATATCAATGGCTTCTAAACAAGCTTAGTTCGGAGTTAGCCGGTTGTCTTTGTTTTGTCTAGTCTCCCGAAAAATAACTCTATATCCCGAATGCAATTGTCTTGGGTCTTGTGTATTCTGTCTTATCTGTTTGGGAGACTCACGAGCTCGCTGGGCTACTGGCTTATGGCCTCTATAAAGATGAAGCTGCATCTGCAATCCCCGGAGCCATCTTCATATTAATTAAAATAGTTTCTTGTATATAATAAACAGCAATCGAAATGTAAACATTTTTACGACCAACTATTATATATAATGCCGACTTAATGAGAATCTAATTAGACATTTGTTTTGCTGTCCCACCGATTAGCATGATGACCCACAGTGCCCTTATCAGTGGCTGTAGTGGAGAAAGGTGATTAGATTCGAGGGCCCAGCCGAAACCCAAAAAATTCATAACCTGCTCAACGGGGCAAACCATCAGTTTCCGACAAATTTTGGACAGGTTCAGAGTGCCTGGTTCTCGCAATGGTTATACACATTTGTGTAAATCAGATAGACGTTCTGTTATCAGTAATTAGTTTTATAATGCCCGTCTTGGCCTGATAAGTCGACCCACAGCCGTTCGCCCACTCAGAACACCATCGTCGTGTGTTGGCCACAGTTGATGAGCTCTCGCAAACGTCCGAGTGAAAAGTTTCACCGTTTCGCGACGGGATGTGAAAAGTGCAATAAAGCTGGCAAAAGTCGTTTATATTTCCATATTTCCCTTAGATTGGGATGAAGCTAGAAGATTGTAAACAGTATCCATAAAGCATCAAAATAATAATATCCAAGGAGCATCAATCAATAATTTTATTTTTAAAAAGCCTATCAAAAATAGTTTAGTGTTTGTGCTTAGCTTTGACAGAAGTGGTAAGTGGATAAAAAAGTAATTTTTATATAAAAGTATCTGTGCATAAAAGTCAGATTAATAAACTATCAACAAAAATTTATGGAATTTATATTGGATTAAATAATAAATGAAAAAGTAAATAAAAACTCAGACCAGAATACTGATGCTCGCAGTAATTGATAACATTTGTCAAACAAGAAACTTATTACCTCAAGCTTAAAGCAGCTTATAATCATGAATGATTTTATGCCACCCAAACAAACGAATCGTATATGACTCAATGTGTTTTTATATTCATAATTTGAAGATTTTAACAACGGATTGGCGCCAACTGGCGTGGCGACAAGTGTCTGGTTAGAAGCCCCAACAATCTACCGCAGTTAATTGCCAAGCAATCTCATCATCCGGCCAGAGTTCTGCTCCCCAGATGCCATAAAGATTAGTCTGCTTATCAGGCCCTACGACTAACTGTGGGACTTAGGCACAGCCACTTTGGTTATTTGGTAGTCCAAAATGAGAGACAAGAAGGAACAGGCGAACAGCCGCAAGGCCTCCCAGGTCTCGGGACATTTTTTCCAGATGGATGTTGACGATTCGGAGTTCAACGATCCTTTCCAGACTCTGATGGAGAAGGCTGGCAACCATGGTCGCTATCAAACTCTTTACAATTACCTATTCGTTGGTGGCTTGGCTTTCAGTGGTGCCATGATCTACATGAATATCATTCTGGCCCTTAATATTCCCGATCACTGGTGCACAGTGCCTGGCAGAGAAAACACTAACTTTACGCTGGAGGAGTGGCGAGACATCACCCTGCCCAAGTAAGTGAGGGATTCCCCCAATCCAAACTCAATAAACTGAATCTAGTTTTGGAATAGACAGGCCGACAATCGTGGAAGGGAGACTTTCAGCAATTGTGAGATGTTCCAAGCGAACTTCTCAGAGATCACGGACTGGTCAGCTTGGAATACTACCAAGAGGACAACACCAAAAGAAGGTAAATTTAAGATGTTAACCCACTCCGTTGACTTGCCTACGTTACCTGCAATAACTTCAAAAATCCAACTAACTAATCCAATTAAAACTACCTTAACTTCCATGCATTTATTTATTTGTGTAAACTTCCTGTTAAACCTTATCAAGTGCTGGGCTTTTGGCCAAATATTTATCGAGCTCCCTGTTTTCCATCAAACAACTTTGAAGCAGAAAGTAAATACATACGTTAGCTGGATTAGTGGTGAAATTACTTGGCATTTCGCTGCTCCTACTGCTGTCTTCTTATAAATATTTGCAACTTTGCACTCGAATGCATTTTACGACCGCAACCCCCGTTCGTCCTTTTTCAGCCTGCCAGAATGGCTGGAGTTACGACAAGACCTGGTACGAGAGCACCATCCCCACGGACCACAACTGGGTGTGCGCCAAGGATTTGTTCGTGACAAATGTGTTCGTGGTGGGTCGTGTGACGGAGGTGGCCGGTTCATTTATATTGGGACAAATGGGCGATTCGTAAGTAGCGCGACTTCCACCTAACTAAGTTATGGCAGTGCCGGTAATTGAATTTGTCCACTTGGCCGCAGCTATGGTCGCCGTTTCGTATACTACATCAGTGTGGTCTTCTGTTCCCTGGGTCGCTTGGGGTCCATCATGTGCACCAGCTCGTACACGTGGTTCCTCATCATGTCCGGCATCGTCGGCCTCACCGTTAACAGTCTCTTCCAATCGCCCCAAATTATCGGCATGGAGATCTCGCGGGAGTAAGTTTCGCACAAAGTTTTCTGACCAACTTTTATTGCTAAACCCACACCAAATTGTGTCCAGGGAGGACCGCAGTCGAATTGCCTTCTTCCAGAGCTGTGGCTGGTCCATTGGCACCACATTGATGCCCCTGCTTTACTGGTGGCTGCGCCACTGGGACTCCTTTATGTGGCTCACCTCGATACCCACAGCGATGGTTCTGCTCTATTCCAAGTAAGTCACGCAGTTCAAGAACCCATCGAAATCTAATCATCTTCTACGTTTTTGTCGTGACATTAATTATTTCTTAAGTTTCTCTATTTTTTCTCATGATGAAATAATCACAAAGTTTGCTAGAACATTATTGTGTCAACTAAATAAAACCATCAAGGTTTTAGAGCTAAATCACCCCATCTAAGTCACCCAACCATTCAATCCTGATTTAAACTGAGCAATCCTGAATTTACTGCAGATACGTAATCGAATCGCCCAGGTGGTTGATTAGCAAACAGCGTTTCCGCGAGGCCATTGTCCAACTGCAGAAGATAGCCAAAATTAACGGCCATCGCTTCGACATGACCGAGAAGGAATTGGCCGAGATCTACAGTCGGGACAAGCAGGAAGTCACCTACGGCATCGCATCGCTCTTTGCTGGCTGGCGGCTGGCCCGCAACACCATCATCATGGGCTTCAGTTGGTGAGAAATGTAGATGAACTAAGGCAAAAGATGGCAACTGGAATTTAGATAAAAAAGAAAGGTTTCCAATCAATCTTCAAATATTTCTTTCTAAGCGTTTTCCTAAACGTGTATCTTATCCAAAACCAGTGTCTCAGCAAGTTATCCTCTCTTTTCCCTTAAACTAAGTAAAATTTCAAAAAGATTTCACTGATTTCTCTCACTGCATTGAGAATTTCACACCGAAAGCAATTTGCATGTCTAACTGGCGATTTACTTCCTTTTGCAGGTGCGTGGTAGCCGTCTCCTATTTCACGCTGGTGCTCTTCAGCTCCCGCATGGCGGGCAATCCGTTCCTGAACTTTTTGTACCAGAGCATTGTGGAAATTCCCGCCTACGTTGTTGGTCGCTATATGGGTGAGTGCTGCGGGGCGTGACGCCACGCTGATTGGAGCAGTCCATCACCGGCAATGTCTCTTCTTCTCACCCGCGCCTTTCCACTTTGCCAGGTGATACGTATGGAAGGCGCTTCACCAACTCGGTATCGTTCCTCATCTCGTTCGTCACCTGTCTGCCCATCATTGTGTATGCAACGGACGAGCGGTACGAGGCCCTGATGATCTACCTGGCCACGTTCATCAAGTTCCTCAATGCCCTCACCTTCTTCACGGCGAATCTGCAGTGCCTGGAGATCTATCCCACGTGCATGCGACAGACGGGCGTTGCTCTGGGCACCATCCTGGCGAATGCCATTGGTGTCCTGGCACCGTACCTGGTCTACCTGGGCACCACCGTGGACATCCGGGCGCCGTACTACATCCTGGGCATCCTCTTCCTCCTTGGCGGCATTGGAGCTCTGTTCCTGCCGGAGACCCTGCACAAAAAGCTACCGGACACCATGGAGGAGGCGGCACACTTTGGCAAGCACGATGTGAGTACAATCGGGGTGATAAAAAGCACCTACAATCATATATAAACGTATTTATGAAATCTCTTGAGCAAACATGCAACAAAGTGTACAAGAAGCAAGGCAATTTCTCTGTAATTACTTTCTCCAAAGTGGCAGAGTTCTTCAACCTTCTTCCGCTTCTTGAGCAATGAGCCACGATGGAGTTTTGCTGGCATATCTAATTTATAATCTAAATTATGCAAAGCAGCCGTAGCCTAATTTCATTTTTCACAAATTTAATTTACAGAAATTCTTCAGTCTGCCGAAACCGCCGCTGGCGGCGGATAAGGACGACAGCCTGTCATCCCATCCGGAGTTAGCCAAGCTCAGACGCTCGGAGACGGCGCCCTGATTACCCCCCTGCTGAATCCCTGAATCTTAGAATCCTCGAGACCTGCGAACTCCTTCAAAGTCATCGCCGGCAATCGATTCCAGTTGCCATCCGCGTTTCACGTTTCCCCTTGTGATGTTACGTTAAGTTTGGCCGCCCCTCCTACCAAGTATTGCGAATAAAGTATTGTTATTTAGGCAACCGTAATAAGACCCATATAAATCACAAATCACCTCCACGTTACGCCCAACCATTTGAGGCACAAAGAAATCCCGGCAATGAGTTTATCAGCGCATCTGTCAGAAATTTACAAATTACCTGGGGTGGCTAATGCTGTGGCTAATTTAATAAATGACGCGCCACCAGCAACGAGCGAGACGCATACACACACATGGCGTATGCGTAATGCGTGGCAGGCGCCTGATTTATGCAAGTTATGTATCAATTTTTATCACCAGTTGCAGGAATTGAGCCTTAGCCCGTCTCTTTCGCACGCTGGAAGTTGGCCAAGTGCTAAACTGTAAGCAGCAGCCACTAACACCAAAACCAACTGTCAGCGCGAAAACGAGAAATACAATGTATTGGAATTTTACTGAGATCCTAAGCCGAAGCTGGAATGCACTTTAAAAGTGGCAGGGTTTGTTATAAACTAGTCTTTAAGGATATGAGTTTAGAACAGCTTAATTAACCACAAATTGCAGGAGTGATAACAATATCTTATCCTTTCTATAAACCACAATAATAACTACCTCTTAAATATCATTTTTAGTTTCCATTTAAAAAACTTAAAATACCTCCCAATAACCAGATAATAAATATAGTTTCTTCTTATATGCAAAATCTGCACCTTAAATCGTTTTATATTTTCACAACTTTTCACTGCATTTGGCAAGTTAAAACCTCCTAAACAGGACCGATATAACCCTCCTTGAACTAACCAACTTGGCCCCGGTAAAAAGTTTTACTCGAACGGCTTGCCAGAAACAGGACGTGCAACTTTTGTGCGCAAAGGTGTTTCGTTTTTCAAGTTATTTATTATGATTTATTTGCCAATGTGGCGCGCTGATGTGGCAACGTCTCAGACGGAGACTGAATCTTGGTCCGGGTAAGAAGCTCTCACTCCCTCTCCCAACTACCAGTTACCAGCTACGAACTACCAACTCCATCTGGCGTAGCTGCAGCGGCGATAAGTAAATTGTTTATCCTACTTGTGAGTTATGTGCTGCGACGGCCAGCCAGCAAGCCAGGCTAAAAAGCAAGAGGATGAGGACTATAAGGACTCCAGGAGCAGGAGCAGGGGCAGCCATTCAGTTTGATGATCATGTTGATGTTGGCCCTAGGTTGGACCTCGAACTGGAGCTGGAGCTCCGCAATGGCCGGGGCAGCTAACATTGTTATGCTTTCATAAACAGCTGAGCGCAATTTTCTGATAAGCCAGGTCCTGTGCCTCCTGTGTGAGCTGGTGTTGGTGGCTATTTGTTTCAATTTATCATAAAAGGCAACGCCGGAAGTCAGCCAAGCTGCAGTTGAATGAACGATGGAGGCAGGCACGATGGGGTCTTAGTTTTGAGGCGGCTTAGCCGTAAGATGGCCAGCAAAAGTCCTTGGCAGCCGGCTGAGCGGCATTAGAAGGGATTCCACGGGCATTCGCATCAAGGAGCTGCCTCTTTAAGGACTGCATAAATACGGCTCACAATTATCGCTGTCTCCAGCCAAGGCAGTTACACTGAAGGAAAGATATTTTTAGTTTGATATTGATTAAAGCAGATTTAGTTAGTGTATCAGTATAGATTTATCTAGATTAAGAGAGGCATTTAAATTAAAAACTTACATTTTCACACCTTAGTTACCTTAGACTAAACTAAAAGAGGTTCTTAAAGTGTCCGTTCTTAAGCAGGGCTAGTAGATATTTCTCCCCAGTGTACCCAAATTACCCCCCAGCTTCAGCTTGTCTCGAGAACTGGTCCTTCTCCGGTCCAGTTCGTCCTGGCAGTAATGAAAACAAATGCCCGGCCATTTGCAGCAACAGGGACAATTAAAGAGGCAAACATTAGGAGCTTTGCAATGGCAATGGCAGCGAAACGAAAAGTAAATCTGGAGTGCATTGCCATTGCAACGGCAAAGGAAGGCTTTTACTACAAATTTTCCCGGGGTTTTTCATATTTCACGCAATTGAGAAGGAGCCAAACTATTTGCAATATTTCAGGCTGCCACACGAACGAAATCCAGACATGAAAAATGCAATGCTTGCTTGGGCTTCCTTCAGTGCCTGAAAGTGGGTGGGATTTTTGGGGGACGGCCAAGAAGCGGGTGCCACAACAGTGATTGCGCTTTATTTGTGATAATAAAACACACCATCGCGCCGAGACGACGACGATGAGGACAACGACAACGTTGGAAAAGTGCTGGGTGGTGGTTGATGGTTGAGAAGTTGGGGGGAAAAATCGAACCGCGAAATTGCAACAAACTGCGCGTGCATTGGCCTCCACGAAAAAAGGGTCAGGACAAAAAGGGTGGCAGTTAAGGGGGGTAAAACAGAGCAGAAGTCAGGACCTTGCTGTCGGGGTAAGAATATTTAAGCTGCAACAACGTTGCAGCAAATATTAAAGGAAAACACGGACGGCAGCGGGGCGCAAACGGATTTACTGCATATTTCATGTTCACAACGAACCAATTTTACGCTCTTCAAATCCTATTAGTCAATGGCCCTATGGGGATGCACCACCACCATCGCCACCAGTAGCAGTAGAACCAGCAGCAGCAGCACTACACGTGGGAAAAATAGTATATATTATAGATTCGATTGAAAATCTGTATATAAGTTTGAAACAAAGTTTTAATAAGCTTATCAAATTCACTGAATGAAATCAAATTCTGATTAATCTGACATTATAGTCTAGAGGGGTTACTCAATACCAGACCTTTTCCCATATTAGAAACAAAGTTTGCGATTATAATGAATTATTTGAAATCCAAACGTAATACTTATTTGTTTGTGCAATCAATCTAAGTATATTGTATAATCGATAGGTTAAGCAGAGGTGGTAATAAGGAAGATTAAGAAAATATATAAAAGTTTACAACTTTTATAGTTCTCAGTTCTCTGTGCACCCAACAGGAGCTTCGGCGGAATCAAGCAGGACTTTCAGCTAAGGCAGCTGTTTCGGCAAAGGGTTGAGACTCAGCTTGTTTGGCATGGGCCAGCGCGGAGTGGGTGGTGCTGGGTGATTGGTGATGCCTCAGCTCAGATACAGCGATTTACTGGCACACACTCCAATATATGTTCGTATCATATAGATATATCCTTATGTACGTACTATATATAAGTAAGACTCTGGCCTGGGTCAGCTTAGTGTGTCTGGCATTTCCGCACGATTATGCATGTGAGTGGCGGTGTGGTGCTCGCTGGTTGGTTTGGGTCGGTTTTTTGGGTGGGGATAAGCCCAGTGGACAGCCCGCAAATGCCCGCCTGGAAACGGTTCTCATCAATCTAGTTACTTCGAGAGCATGAATTATGAAAAACGTGCAAAATGCAAACGGAAATTAAAATTTATAAAAAAAAAAGAACCGAGGAGATGGGGACTTGGAGGATTGAGAACTTCCACTCGGTTAGACAAATGCGCTTGGCCCGGTGGTGGGAGAACTCAGAAGCCCAACTCAGCACACGGAAATCAAAGGAAACACTAGCCAAAAGACCGAAATAACAAATGAAAAAGGCCAGGAGCAGGGCTTGGGAAATATGTTTGGGGAAAATTAAACATATTATCCCAAACTCCAGACAGTTTTTCCACAGCACAGCTGTTGAAAAACAAACCTCAACTTTGGCCGCATACAACATTTTTGTCAGGGTCCTGCTGCTGTCCTTTATTAATTTAACAGCCAGGCTATGCCAGTGATGGGATGCGACTTTGACTACAACTTGAACTACAACAGAGGCAGTAGGCAGGCGGGAGACTGAGGGGCAGGACCACCGATGGAATTCAACAAGCCATAAAACATATGAGGCAGCCGAGTCGCATGCATTTTTCATGAGCCGTTGGCTTTTGTGCCCATCACAATCATCGGACGAGGCCCGAAAAGTCACAGACCCTGCAGGAACTCCCCTGACTTCCATACTCCAGTGGCGACGCCAACAATCATCATCGGCACTCGTCCTCATCCGCTTCAGGAGAGCCAGCTGGAGGACTTCTCCTGCTCCTGCTCCTGCTTCTGACTTCACCACTCTTGGCTACACTTGAACTTACAATGACACGTTCGAGGTTCGAATAATGTGGGGATGATGGGATTGGTGCAGGCTCAACATATTTGTTCGGGAATATTCGAGTAGGAACCAGCCACTGCATTTCTGTACAACTCTTTACCCGTAGATTGCACACAAATTGCTTTCATTTGTTGTATTAGGATATGGAAGGATCTGCACATTATGACTCTGTATTATTTTAAATCAATATAAACACGAAAATAGTTAATAAATATGGAAAAAATACATTTAAATTTCCATTTAAATAAATCAAAAGATGAGTTGATTTTAATTGTTTGAAATTAGGTTTTACCTTTTTCGCTTTACTGTCACTAAAGACTTATCTACTGAAATAAAAAGATAATATTTTAATCTAGGCAGTTAAGGTTCACCTTCATTATCACTAAAAACAAAAAACCTCTATTTACCAGCTAATAAAAAGCAAATACACATTATTAAGTGATATAAATTCCTGTGTTTCCCCTTTGTGAAGTGAGATACTTCTCAGACACCAAGAGATCTGCGTAAAGTCTTACTTCTTACATCTCACTGATATATTCAGCCACTATTTGTAACCCCTGAGACTTACTTCGTTTCCTGTGATTTTTCTACCAAGAGCAGGAGTAGGTTTAGAGCAATCTCAGCTTGCAGGAAGCGTCAGAGCTATCATCAATCATCCGCCAGGGGCAACTTGAAGATACGGCGAGGCACGTGAAAGGACAGCGACATTGATGGAAGCTCACACCTGCATTATGCACGCCAAAAAAAAATCCGTATCTATCTATTCGTGTTCAGAGAAATTGTGGTATAACAATGAAATATAATACCACCCTGATTTTGCGACATAGCAATCGGTATTTTGCTTATAACAAAGACGAAAATGATCGGAATACGGAATCCCTTACTTCCATAAAATCCCAATTAAATTTCTAGTCGATTGGCATTCACACCTTGAAATGTCAAATTTTGATCGTTTTTCGTAAAAATTGATGATGGTACCCCTTACCGCAAATGCGAAAATTGGCCAAAAATTGATTTTGTCCAATTAGCCTAAAATTTACAGGGTTCTTAGTACTGGTTGTTGGCTTCACAAAACTGTCGCCCTTTTGGCTATAAATCTTGTTCTGACCAATTTATAGCTTGAAAACCAAAAAAAAGTCGTCAAGCTTTGGTTAAAAATATTTATCCTGATTTTGCTCCAAAAATGTCAATATTTTGACAAGAGCAATGTCAAAAATGGTTTAAATATGGAATGATACACATCGTTCTGTTCGTAATTTAAATTCAAGTAGAACTGCATTCCAGCCTAGAAAAGTCAATATTTGGCCATTTTCGCAAAAATTGATGATGTAACCCCTTATCGAAAATGCGGAAGTTGTTCCCCCCTGATTTTGCGCCCTAACCATCCGTATTTTTCTCTCTGCAAAGCCAAAAATTATCAGAATAAGGAATGTGATACCGCATTGAACTCGCAATTAAGTTCCTATTTGATTTGCATTCCCACCTTGAAATATCACATTTTGAGAAACTTTTGCAAAAATGTATATGAGAGCCGATACTTGCTAGGATTTCTATTGCAACTTCTTTTAGCCATATGTTTTCTTTTGAAGATAATTTGTGATGCTATGTAACTTTTTAATAAAAGTCGGGAAGCTGATTGATTCGCCTGAATTTATTTTGTTACTTAAACTATGAGCGCTGTCCTCCCACAAAAACTGCAATTTGTTGTACATTTCGGGAAAAACTCTTTATTTCTATGTGAACTGAACTTTAAAAATACTTTACTTTTCCGTATAACGTATGCAAATTTTGCTACACTCCTTTGCGACTTTTTGCCAATTTTTTGTATTTTGATTACAATTGCAAAACATTTGGGGCATACGCTCGCTAAATATTTGTTTTAAACATTTTATACGCTAGAGGTGTATACATATACATATATGACTATACAGATGTGTGTAAATATATTCACTATGTTTATATGGGTAATTCCGACACGCTTTCACGCGTGTTCTATTTTCATAAATATTATTTATTTATTTATTTGGGCAATCAATTTGCGTGTTTTTTATGTTGTCGTTTCTGTTCCATTTGCATTTGAAATGCTTTGGCCTTTTGCTTAAACACTTACGTATGTAAATTGAAATTTGTCGATGGCTGACCATCAACTTTTATTGTAAATATTCGTATGTGGCTATATATATATATAGATATATATTTGCTGATGTATATTTGTGTGTAGACCGTAAGTCATCAATATCCATAATAAATTAATAAATATATATATATCCGTAAGCCTAATTGCCGAGCCTGTAATCTGGAGCCTGATATCAGACTCAGATCCTGCTGCTCCTCATATGTTTATTGTGATTTGTTGGCCATGTAAAAGCTGTCGCCAAAGAGGGAAAACCCCGACTGGGTCAATAACACTGCCCATTGATTTATGGTCCACTCTGACAGTCCTAATTTAAATTATGATTGGGCTTACGCATAAATTAATTGTCCTGGACACCTAGCCCAGGCTGGGATCAATATCGAAATGCCACTCGCTTGATTGGCAGTAAATGTTGTGGCTATTATTATGATTATGGTATGCACTTCTCAATCAATTTTTATTATTTATTATTAAGGGTTTTTTGTTGTTGTTGTCTGTTTGTCCAAATTAAAGCGAGCATGCCAGGCTGAATTTGACTTTGTATTTTACACTTTTATGCTTTAATTGCTGTCTCTGGTCTATTTCTGCCGATTGCTCTCATTGTTTTTGGCCATTTAACTGACTGACTGACTGTGCTGCTGTATCTATGGATAATCTATATATGTATGTATGTATGTATGTATATGCCTATGTATTGGTAGTTTAACAATTATATGTATATTAAACTGGCGCACAATTTTACACTCGACTGCCCGCTCAGAGTTTTGTTGCTTTGTTTTCACTTTGCCTATATTTAATTTCACCTTTTTTCACTGTTTGCATTTTGTTTGTTTGTTTGTTTGTTTGTTTGTTTGTTTGTCTATACTATTTTCACTATTGCTGGTTGCTGGTTGGCTGGTTAGCTGGTTAGCTATCTCTGTGCTGTTCTGTGCTGCATTTAATTTAATTTAAATAAAATGATCATCGAGGCCTGGCAGGGTTAATTGCACGTTAACACACGCTAGAGGGGAATCGAATGAATAAAAATGAAATATTAAATGGCTGCCATGGCAGCCGGAAAACTTTGTGTATTGCGGGTAGTGTGATGCTGGTGCAAGAGTGCTTAAGCTAATTGCAGTTTTCGGCGACAGGCGGAACCGGAAACGGGCCTCGAAATGGCCAACGATCCCTTGGCAAACGCACTCTCTCACGTAGCCGCTAAATGTTTCAATTTTCTGGCAGCTCAACGCGGCGCCGCAGACATTTAATAATAAACGCAGCAGCAGTGGCAGCTGCAGCAACGAAATGGCCAGAACTTTCCCGGGTGTTTCGTTGGGTCTTTTTTTCGGGGGATGTGGTTAGTGGTGGTGCTGGTGGTTGGGTATTGGAAATTCGAGGGAGGGATGACAAAGACAGCCGCGAGCAAATGGCCATCGACCATTTTGATGCCTTTCGGCCAGAGAGCAAACAAAATTAAAAACGAATTTCAAATGCCTTTGCCTGGCTCAAAAATGCAAATCGCATTCCCTGGCAGAAAATAGTGATGGGAAAGGTACCTTGAAGAGGTAGAAACTGAATTTCACTCTAAGAAATAATATAAAGTTAAGGGTAGCAATCGATATAAAGTACTCTAACTGCTTCTTAAAATCAATGAATTTCTGTAGAAATCATTTCTTAAAATATATTCACTAATATTTAACTTTAAAACATATTTAAGTAAGGTAAGAAATAGAGGTACTAAAGGTGTTAAAAACAAATAAAAAGATAGTTCTATCAACTAAAGAAATTTCCCATCACTATCCACACACACACACACTCATACACTTGGCAAGAAAGAGAGACAATCACACATATACAGTCACTGGCTGGACAAGTTGCATACTTTCGGGCGCAACATGCAATTAAAATGCAAAAAAGGCAAATGGCAGAGCGGCCATTTCGGCTTCAGGTTTGTTCCGCCTGCAGCAGCAGCTCGAAAAACCAAAGACCAAAATCGATGCAGTGCCAAGTTGAAACGGAAATGCCAGAGCCGAATCCGCATCCGTATTCGTCCGTCCGTATGTGCGTGTCCGTGTGTCTGTGCAACGTCTGCGGTTAGAACAAGTTTGCCAGCCTGCATTCGAGTGTGTGTTTGTGTGAAAGTGTGTATGTGTGTGTGTGTGTGTGTGTGTATGCCAGTGTGAGAGTGTGCGTGTTGATTTAGCGTTAAGCTTGTTGGATTTTTGCGTTTTGTCAACATTCCCCCGGCCAGTTGTCGATGCATTCGCAGACTGCTGCTGCGGCGGCTTTCTCGGGGTGTTCAAATAATTGCCGATAGACTTCGGGGCAAGAGCATTTCGAGATTGATTCTGGTTGGATGGGGGAGTACGCACACAGAGAAAAATAAGTGGTTTATCAGAAATAGTTTTTATGTTGAGTTTGTTCTAGAAATCTTTGCAGGACTTAAAGCAAAGTTCTTCAAAGATTTTTAAAAGACTTCTTTCAATTTTCTTTTATATTGGAGATTTCTTAGTTAGTTTTAGAATATATATATATAGTAAAAATGAAGTGATTTTGTTTCGGCTAGATTTCTTCTCTGTGCAGTTTATAGTAGTATTGGTTTGGAAGGGGGAGGTGAAGTGCTGCTTAGACTAGGCTTACTGTTCATTAATGGTCAGGTGACTATACAGTGGGCTCTGGGTGGTGTTGATCAGGTTGGGTTTGTCAATTAGTCCTATAGGTAAGTTAAACTCAACACTTGCAGATATTATTCCTATGGCTATTTATGAGTTATGAGTGCATTAATATTGCTTCGTTGGCCTGCTTATATTTCCTTTTCCTATTTAGCCTCATCCTTTAGATTATGATCCTGTCTTGCTTAAGTTTGTGTATCACCTGATTGAGAATAATGATTGATTCAACAATTTATATAAGTGAGTGTATGTTTGTGTTTGTGTTTGTTTGCTGGTTATCCTGGATTTTGAGATCTAAGCAGCTGCGCTGCTCAGGGCCGAATCCTAGGGATGCTTCGTATAATTATTGAGCGGCATCTCGTTGACATGGGTGTGGGCCACCTCCTTGTTCCGGTCGTGCAAAGCCATTTCCAAGGGAGCACTGGCTGGCTTCTTTTGGGCAGCCTTCTGTGTCTTTAGCTGAAAGTGAAAACCATTTCATTAGTGTTTGATTCACAACTCGGAAGTCTCATATTTACTCTCTGTATGGTCTTTTCAAAGTCCTGATGCGGTTCCGGTCGCTTCATCGTGCTGCAGTTTCTCAGGCGTTCATTGGTCTGAAAAATAAGTAATAAATTAGTATAAATCCAATCCAGCCTTTATATAATAAGTACTTCATGAATACTGTTTCTAAAATATTTCAGTTTAAATTCTGTCACTTTATGCCCACCCAAGCTATCTCTATTTGCTTTCCTTCAACGTAAAATAAATTGTACTTTTCCCGTCACTTCAGTATGCTAGTCCAGCTATTTTGTGCCCACCCATGATTACTTCATTAACTCGAGCCAGACCCAACAAATCGACACCTCAAAACAACCGCAGCCAGAGAGAACTTCAAATGAAAATGGGAATGTCAAATGGAAAGCGGCGGGCTGCCGAGTAAGTGTAATGAAAGGCCAGCGCTGGTTGTTTCTGTCCCCGGAGCAGCATGTCCGCAGCAGACCGCATAATGAGAGCCGTTTGGAGGAGCTGGAACACACGCTCCGGGTGACCTTTGACCGGGGTAGAAAAAAAGAAAGCACAGCAACGGCGGTAGAATCACGAGCTGTGGCCAAAGAAAGGTAATGAGTGCCAGAGGACACGCCGCACTCTCGCACACACAAAAGAAGTTGTCCCACCGAAACACGGAGCACAATTGTCGCCAGTGCTTAGCCCAAGTCATTTTCAAAATTGACCGCAAAAACTCCGGGTGGAACCCGAGTGGACAATCTGCAGTCGTGGTCCTCGGCAGCGGCAAATTGTGCTTAAATATTAAATGAACAGCCGGCGAAGGAGCAGGAGGGAGCACACACAAAAGAAAAACCGGACAACAACCGTAAAACACGAAAAGTTATAAACTCTCGCCGGACCGGAGGACCCCAAAAATACTGGGGAAAACCAAAAATAAAAAAAAGACACAAAAAAGTAACCAAAAAAAAAACTGGAAGCTGGATGGAAATGGAAAAGTGCACGGCGAGGACGACACAGAAAACAAAACACTTTGGCACGCCTGAAATAATAAAAACAAATGCGAATGGAAAAAGGACAATCGTGTGTAGGTAGCAGCTCCACCTGATCCTCACCCACCAACGACTTCTCTACATCCGGCATAACAACCGCAGCAAAGCCCCGAAACGCGCCAAGGTGCAAATGACCAGGTAACGTGGAGTTCCAGGAACGTGCTCCTCAGGTCCATGACAACGCCCCCGACAATGCGATTGGCGCTCTTGTCCCCTCTTTTGTCCTTTACGATTCCAGAGTTTGGATGCACTTGGGAAAATCAGGAAGTGAAAGCTGATCCTTATGTGAGGTTATTCTTAAAGAAATGGCTATATATATGGTATATGTTTGGTAATTTATAAATTAAAGAATCATAAATGTATAAAATCTGTTAGGACAAAAATCGATTTGTTTTTGTGAGTACATTCCGCATCCAGCTCTGGACTTCCATCTGTATCTGGCACTTGCACTTGCAGAAGACCCCCGCCCTCATTGACAGTTCATATCTCGGAGTCTGCCATTTGCATCCGGCACATGTCCTTGCCGCGCTGCACTCTCCCCGGATCTCTGACCCTCATCCTAGCGTACGCTTTTTGCTCGGGCTGTGTTGTCATTGTCTGGTCTCGACCATTCGCCCAGCGCAAGTCAACGCAATTAACGGTAATTGCCTTTTATCGGCTTAGCCTTGATAAAGTTTTCCACCGCCTCTGGGCTTTTCCTGCCCCGCCTTCTTTACCCACAACGCGAACTTTCCTAGTTATTGCTGCTATTGTTGTTGTTACTGCGGCCATCGTTGTTATTTGTAGGTTTACGCGGTTTTTATATTTTAATTTAATTTTATAAGTAGTCCCAGTGCTACACACCCCCGCCCTGGCAGCCCAAGAACTTGTCCATGGCAAAAATTCGACATTAAACAGAGCAGCGGATGGTTATGGAGGGGGTAGAGGTCGGTTGAGAGTGGAAAAGCGGGAAAAGTTTTTGTTTTGAATGCGGCAAGGAAATGCTTTGAAGTTGGCTCCAAATTATGGAACTTTTCATGGCTTTCCAGAGAGATAGAAAGCGGAGGAGGGGACATGCCGGGTCCAGAATTAAGGAGCCGGGAATTAAACTGCGACCGAAATGCGAAAACTCTTTCCATTTTCATAATTTTCAAGCAGCTTACGGAGTGTCAAATGCTCATCTAACGAAAACGTCGCTGTCTATATGGCGTCGAACAGAAGCGGTGACTAAAAACTGCAACTTAAATAAATTACTGAAGTACTTTTTCTCTTTTCCCAACTTGAATGGAAAGTATATTTTTAAAAATACTCTATATTCTTATACTATCAACTATAATCTTATATATGAATCACACATACAGACCTTGGGTTTACTTGCCTACCCACAAATGACAATAAAAATTAAACTATACCCAAGAAAGGTCATCGGTGTAAACACGCCATTAAGAGAATTCATTGTTTTAACTTTCATGGCATTCCTCTATTTATTTGTTTCCATTTCCCTTTTCTTTTTTGCCCCTTTTTTCCAGAAACTTTTACCCAATTGCAAAGAAGCCAAAAAGAAACATGCCCAAAAGTAGGCAATAAAAATGGCTTCTTAACCGGAAATGACAAAGTCACACACACGGAATTGTTTGCAAAAACAAAAGAAGGAAATAAAAGGGTTTAAGTTCTTTGTAAGTGGCACCCAATTTGTGACCTCTAAAACTCACCTTTAACTGCATTCCCTCCGTGGCGTTCAGCTCATCTCCACTCTGCCGGAGGCCCTGCAAAAACCTGGCAAAGACCGTTCGCCGCTGTTTGTGCTTGTTCCGGCCCTCTAACCAATCCAATCCACATCCAGTTCCAAATTCGAGGCAGTGAGGCGAACAATCAAACCGAGAATCAAACAGACATTCATTTGATTAACCAGACAGTCAAAGTTTAAGCACAAAACCAATTTAATTGAATTAAAAGCCATAAAAACCAAACAGCCGCCAAACTGTCTCTAACCACAGCTCCACCACCTTGCCAGTCTGCAGTTTTAGAATGCTCCTCACCTGTTGCCGAAAAGTCGTAAAAGAAATTGGTCCGTGCTCCCGGGTAACTGTGCTGCATTCCGTTCAGATTGAGAGCCGACTTGGAGTCGATGGCGTTGCGGGCCATGCGATTGGCCAAATCATTCTGCGTATAGCTGTAGATCTCGTTCTCTTCGCGATTTGACAGGCAACTGGAGGGCTGCATATGCATAGTAAAGATACATTTTAACTTTAATTTAATGCAATCTCAATTAATAAACATTGTTCTCATTTAAAATGCTGTATCAGAAGTATTTTAAAAACCATTTCTTAACCTTATATTCTTCCTATTTAATGAAATAAAATTCTAAATCAAGAGCCCTTCTCAACCACTTTTACAATGTATTTCTTTCAGTGCAAGTGCACATAAAAGAGCACACATGAGCATGCATAATAAACGAAACGGAACGGAAATGAATTAGAGTCTGATTAGCTGGTGGTCGTAAAAGCCTCTCGGGCCGTAAAAGTCCTGGATCGAAGTCAAAGCATATGCTTACCAAGTACTTGCCGGGCACATACAGCGGCTGGCTATGGCTGGTGGGCATCACCGAAGAACCGACCAGGCCCGTTCCGCTGCTGCTGCTGGGCCCAGCCATCCGGCGGGACAGTGTGTGCCCCGTGGAGATGCGCACGTGGCGCTCTTTCCACTTGGACAAACGCACCTGCTCGATGGCGTCCAGCACGTCGTCGTAGGGCATGTTGATCTGTTTGCTGTAATGGGCGGCCAGGCCCTCCAGATAGCCACGTTTGCCCTCCTGCATGGAAAGAAATGTATAAAGAATTTTAGAATTAAGTTTAAATTAAATAGTATTCATATTTCATAAAAGTGAATCTCTTCTTTAATAAATTCTGAGAAATTTAATTTGTGTTTCTCTTATTTAAACTCAATTACAGGCACACATTTTCCCTCTGTGGAGAGAAGTCTTAGGAGTTTGAGGAGAGGTCTTAGATCTTGAGAAGTCTTAACCGCAATCCACTAAGGCCAGGGTCAAAAGGAGCTATTGCAGGGGCAAGGAGCTAGCAGGGCAGACGCCCAAGTGTTAATATCTTCCGGTAATTAGCGTGAGGCTGCCACTTAAATGTATCCTATTTGACATTCAAAGCGGTCACTGAAGCGGCATCATCGTGCTCCTTTATGCAGCTCCAACTCCATCTCCATCTCTGCAACTACGTCTGCATCCGTATCCGTATCTGCATCTACTGTCCGTATGTCTGGTGTCTGCACCTGCATCCTCAAGTTGGGAGAACTAAATCCACTGAACCCACCCCTCGAGCCTGGCAAATTCATTTAGCGTCGCATTCATGTAATGCACATGCAAACATTTGTGCTGAAATGCAACTTGTCTGCAGCTGTCAGTCAGTTAGACACACAGATACTATATAGTACGATATATAGTACCACCCTTACAACTACACACTCACACTCACACTAACACACACCCAGAGGGCTGTCTGTCTCATCAGCGCAAAGTGCAATTAGTTCAAGTTGGAGCCCGCGCGTCAACATGGCCCAGACGAAAGGGAGACTAAAGGGGGAGCCAGGGGCCCAGAAGCCAACAAGTCCTGTCTACAAAATCCCTTTCCCCGCCTTACATCCTGCAGACACCTTTTCTTCGCTGTCATTCCGTATAATTCCATTTCGGGCTTAAAGTCACATTTCAATTTGCACCGTCACAAAGACAACAATCGTAAATATTTAACCACATCTTGGGGCACAAACTATGCCAAGTACTGAGCCATAAACTTGTGGCAAGGAGAAAAAACCAAAACTGGCGCTAATTAAAATGCAAAGCAGCAAGACCTGATGCAGCCTATGACAAAGTTTTCACACATATTCTCAACACTGTTTGACAGGAACAGGAACGGAAATAGAAGTGGAAATGCACAGGGGAAAACTCACTTCATCTTCTATAATATTATAGGAAAATCCATTTCAAATCTGCTTGAAATTATTTGAAGTTCAAGTTAGTCCATAAACCTTCTGCAAATTCTAAAAAATATCTTTTGGAAGTAAATAAAGGAATTTAGTATACCTCTATTTCCAGTACATTCTTCACATTTTTCTTTTATTTTTCTCAGTTGAGTAACAAATTCACAAGCTGGAGCGGAAGCCAGCGTATCGCGTGGCCTGCATATTAAGCAGCTGCATCGGAATCTGAAGAGTGTCTGGCAAACTGTCAACACTCTATGCGTGCTCAATAGGCACGACTGACACGCCCACTTCCTCTGCCACCGTTCCACATCCCTACCTCTGCCTCTGCCACACCGCTGGAAATAACTTTAAATGGAGATGGCTTTGCATCTATTTGCATTGCATTGGATTGCATTTCTTTGGCGGAATGCAGGCGGCCCTGAACCAGTGACATGTTTTCAGATACAAACCAGCCAACAAAACGTGGACAAAGGCACCAGAAGTCATCATGGCAAACGAGGCTGCCAAATGCCTTTCAATATGCATTTCATTCACAAGGATACAGTGGGGCCTCTATAGGGAAAACTAGTTAGAAAGTAGGTTTGGAACATAGGAAGAACTTGCGTTTTCATAGAATTAGAGTTCAGAAGGCTTTAGTTCTGTTTTCTGACGACCCATCTTGCCTAGCCTTCTCAAAATAGAGATTTATTTTCTATTTATTCCATATTTTCCCCACTGTTTTGCACTCCTCTCGCCTATTTCCATAGACAAAAGTCCTGCTGGAACCAGCAATTTGCTGTCCCAGCCATTTTTAGCCGATCATTTAATTGTGTCCCCGCTTTCCCTCTCATTTCCCCGGAAAACGCAACCACAATGCAGAGCTTTATCTGTAAACTGGCAGCAGTGACCAAAAAATACGCGCCAAAATAAACAAAATTAACGCAATGCAAAATCATTTCCCGACCGGGGACACCAACGTGCATATAATAAAATAAACAGAACAGCGAAAGGACAGGAGGACAGGACGATGGGCTGGACTGGACATGGTGAATGTTGAGGTGACCCAGCGGGACTTTGCTGGTTGGCCACTCGGTTTAACTAAATTAAAATCGTGTTAATTTCACATTAGAGCGCACACAGCGCTGGCTCCCCAAACGACTGTCACACGTTGCATGTGCATCCTGTGAGTTCCACCCTTTACCACCCACTGAAACCCCCATTGCCATGCCTCCTGGGAAAGGAGGATGCAAATTGCCAGGGCCCTAAACACAATGACCATAGATAAGAACAATCGCTGGCTAGTTGGTTGCCACAGTTAGTTGGGATAGTTGGCAGAGGCAACCATGAGTCTAACAAATGCATTAAAGAGCCAAGAAGAAATATGAACTTAGATAAATCAGATATTTAAAACATGAATTTAAGAGTTATCCCAAATAGACTCACCGGCGTGGAGTACGGATGAGCCGTAAGTCGAATGCCATCTGCCTCGAGGTGCCGCTTCATGACCGCCTCCAGCTCCTTCATGGTCACCGGCGTATCACAGTCGGAGGCCAGAATCTCGTTGCTGCTGCTCAGAGCCTTGGGGTCGTTGATAAGCACATAGACAATGGCAGCGCCTTTCTCTCTCAGCATTCGCACACTTTTCAGAAGCTTTCCCCGATGCGAAGGATTATCCACCCCGATGGCATCCAGATCGATCTCACCGATCTGCTTGCAGATCTCCAACTCATCATAGCCATTCTCCAGAAAACTTTCGCCGTAGCTCGCCAGTCCAATGGTGCGCAGCCACTCGCAGACGATGTTGTGGTGCGGCATGTTGGTGGTGCTGGCATTCGCATTCGCGTATCACGTGGCTCCGCTGGGAAACGGTAGATCCAGCGGTGCGAAGGACACCTTGTTGAGGCGGTGCGGCTTCGTCGAGGTGCTGGCACCACTGGCGCCACTCGTTGCAATGGCAGTGGCAGCCAGCGGCTCCGGTTGGTTGCAGCTGCTGGCGGCACTGCTGCAGCTGCTGCTGGAGGTTGCCTTCATAGCAGCGTCAACGGGAGGGAGTACTCTGCAAGGTAAATAAATATAATACATTTTTGGTATTAATAAATTTATATTTAAGGATAAAATCCAAAAAAAACAATCCCTTTATATGGCAATTTCTTACAAAATTACGATACTTGATCTTTCCTGCTGCAGTTGTAGGCTGAAACCTCCACCAAAAACGTAGACATTAAATTAAATTGACTTCCCCACTGTGCTCTCCACAACGAAAGTTATGGGTTTCGTTAGCCAAGTGCGACAGTGCGTATGCGTAATACGGTTTCGGCTACTTCCGGTGGCCATTAAACTTGCCTGACAGGTGTAGGTCAAGGGGGAAAGAGAGAATATGCCTGAAACTGGATGGTCAGAAGGGGCCATGGCATATCAATTTGCGTTAATAGCAGTCATTGTTCACTCGAAACCAAGGAAGGGGGGGGTACCAAAGGCCTCTGCCTAGTCCTGCCTATAAGCACTTAATGATAATGCTCGGTCATGTACACGAGCCACTAAAACACTTGAATATACTTAGCCCCGGAAGCCACTTGCATATGAATAAGCCACTTAAAATGACAGATGGACCAGGGCAGACGGAGGAGGCATCTCCATATGCAGAGAGGGGGGACGGGAATGGCTGCGCCCTCGGGTCACAGACAAAAGACAAAAGGAAGTCGTCTAACTATTTGCAATGCCCTTTCCCCCGAAACTTGTTTGTTGTCTCCGGTTTGTGTGTGTGTGTGTGTGTGTGCCTGTGTGTGTTTGGCTGTAAAAATATTTTTGCTTGTCGAAAAATGAAATGCAAATGTCTGCTGGCAGCAGAAATATTGTCCAGCCGTTTCCTCCGTCAGGTGGCTGGCTGCCAGTCTACTCCCGAAAAGTGTGGTCCAAGGAGGCAGACAATGGCATAATGAAAATAATGTGGCTACAGTTTGCTCAAACACACACAGAGACAGTGAACTGAACTGCAGCTGTCATTGAGTGTGCTAGATTGAAGTGGTCGGTGGTCCTTCTGCCCCAAAATCACATCACATCTAGCCCGTGGATTTATGTACAAGAAGAACTTCAGATCCAAAGTGAGAGACAACTAATTGACTCAGCTTGACTTGGCTTCGCATACCTTTCATATTGATAAACACATGCTAGACAAGATGCCAGAATGCCGGACAATGGGGCGTATGAGTGACCTCCGGGCGAAGGGGATGAATGCGATGAGGCTTTTAGCAGATGAAAGGCACCAAATTGCTGGAAGGGTCCGAGTGTGGAACTTGAGCAGGAGGAATCCGATATGGCTCAGGCAATTCAGAGCTATTTTAATATTTGAAATGATTTAAGATATGAATTGATGAGGGTGAGGAAGGGGACGAGGGTTCAAAGAAAAACTTAAAGGCAGGAGGCGACGCACTTGAACTTGGTCTAAAGTGTTGTAAAGTAAATTGTTGTTCTACAGAAATATCTTTAAGATATATTTTTATTTTAAAAAAATGAGGAAACATTCTATTGTCTTTAAACCAGCAATATAAAAGGTAAAGTTAGCCTTCAGATCCATTTCTACTTTCGACTTAAGGATGAAATTGCAAATCTCAAACTCAGCTATGAAATGCATTTGCAGAGTTATTCCAAAACCCCCCTTGACAACGCCTCTGAGCTGCTGCAGCTGCAAATATTTAACCACATTCCCTCCCCCATCTCAGACCAGCACCACCCCCCGGAAAACTTTCGGCACATTGTTAGCATAATAAACACATAATAAAATGCAAAAGGCAAAATCAGTAAAGTCAATTTTGAAGATGTTTTGCATACGCAGCCGTTGCAAACAGCTTGCCAAAGTTTATTTACGAGCTGGCCTAACAAACCCAGTTCCGGCCCAAAAAGGTTGAAATCCTCGGTTAATGAATGTCAGTGGCAGTCTCTATATAATATATATTCCTATATTTATATACCAAAGAGAAAATGTCATATATAAGATGCAACGGGTCGAGTGTAATTACATGAAAGCTGGTCAGAAATTTGCATATGCCGCAAACTGACTACGATAAGCGTCTTAAATTTTCAATTTCATTGTTTATTAAGTGCCAAATAATTGTTTGTGTGCAGTGAGGTGAATTTGTGATCAAAGGTGTTTGGCCAGCCCACACGTTTTCCGTTTGTAATTTGCAATTTCCTGCCGTCACCCACTCCGAAAGTGATGAGATTTCCATTGGTACAATTATGATGAGTTTGTGACCCCTGAAGCGTGTGAAAATTCACAAATGCAACGGGCTTTCTCTAATTACCACACCATCGATTATCGCCTTAGCTTTCTAATTATGAAACTTTAGACTTTACCAAAAGGGATTAAATATGCACCTCCTTCGCTCTCATTTCGGAGTCCAAATTAAACAGAAACAACAACACTCACATATTCAGATAAATATATGAATCTGCACGACAATGGCCCCATTGTTTATGGCTTTCACGCAAATTTTTATATGCAAAATTTCAGCCAGAGTAATTAATTTTAATATGAAAGCCAAACATGCGCGCTCTAACAATTGTCATATAATTTGCCGTCTAGACAGAGGAAATTTAGTATTTTCAATTAACTGCAATGGCAACTGAGCGCTGCAACCTGCACCCCCCAGTAACCCTTTCTTCCTTCCATCTCCCCCTCTTAACACCCCCCTAACCAACAGCAACAATGCACACAAAAAGGCGCACACTGATTATTTCCACGTTGAGAGAGAGGCAGGAAGTGGAAAATGCAGAGCTGGAGCTTTTCTGGCTGACTGCCATGTTGACATTGTTGGCTCAAAAATAAAAAAACAAGAAAAATAAAAACAAACTAAACTAGGGAGCAAGAAAGTATGCTTTTCCTGCATTTCGACTAGCGAATTCACTTTGAATTTCAGACCTTAATTTAAGAATTTTGGAATAATTATTAAGAATAATTTGAAAAATATTATTTTAAAGTAAAACATTCCTTATTTGATCTTTGGTTTGTCCCCAAATATAACTTTAAAACCTCCTAACTGCCAATGTACCCCATTCAGGGCCATGCCAATGTGAAGGGGAAATCAACCCATGGACGAATTCAGTGGGAAAACAGTGAAAATAAGCGGGGATCCCCTGCATGGACGCCCCTTGCAGCCTTGACTCCCGAATAGCAGGCGTTCAGCAGACGGCAGAGCGACGTCCTCAAGGTTGGCAACAAAATTGCACTGGCAGTCACTCGAAAAAGAGGTGGGAGAGGGGCAGTCACAAAAGCGGGAGGGGAGTGCTACGAAATGCTGAGGGGGAAAGGGAATGTGGGGGGTTCAGGGTGCAGCCTCGTTCGTGTGCCAATGTCAGTGCACCTGGTGCTGCACTTGGCACTCGGCATTCACTTCGACTCGCAACTCAACTCAACATGAATTCGACTCGACCCGCTCCCTTTTTCCCAGGCCAACGGTGCGTATTGCGGTGGCCGGGAAGCCTTATAAAAAATTGGAAGAGGGGCTGGAGGATCCCCATCATCCATGGACATGGCTTCGATTTCACTTTTTCCCCTTTTTTTTGGTTCCACTTTTTTAATTGAAATTTCATTTGGCGCGTTTGTTTGCACATAATTACGATTCGGGGGACTTTTGTCGCTTGTTATGCAAATTTAAGACCGGCTCATCCCGAAATGAATGAGTGTGAATAGAAAGGAGATGCATGAATGCCCGACCGGAGCTGCATTTTCATTTCTTCTCATATATATTTTTCTCTTCTTATTTTTCGGCTTCGTTGCGGTTCCATTGTGGTCGGAGATGATGGCCCAAAAAAGAAATGGTTTTAGCCCGACTGAAAGAAAGAAGACAGCCTGCAGCGGCAGCTTCATTCAGCTCCAAGTATTTCTGTGCTAAACAAATGAGCACAAAACTAAAACCCATTCAGATAGTGAAGTCTGCTGGGGATAAACCAAGAAGCTTGTGAAGTCTAAAAAATGCATCACTTAAACTGTGCTACTTGCAACATCGCAAGTTAGCAAAATGTTTTAAACTAAAGAACATTTCAATGAAGGGAGGATAAATTAGACTAAATGGTAGGTTCTTTGATGGCTAAGAGGCATCGTCTGGGAAAGCCACTCTATTTACATCCTTTTTCCAAATATTTATTAAAAGATTTATTTCCCTTAACATATATTGTTGCCACATTAATAACCCATTAAACCAATCAACCCAATCACAGCCCTCAATCTGACATCTAGCCGTGCATTAACCCCAGGACAATCCAGGATTAGCAATTCCTCCAGATTTAATTCCACCCCCAAACCTGACGGAAATCCGGCAGTTAAACCCATTGACTGCTGATTGAGTAATCAACGAATCGATCCCGTAATTCCGCAATTTACTTACATTGTGAGCCGTAATCAATAGGTGAGTCCGGTATGTCCTGTTCGGAACTCTCAAGACATGCAACCACTCGCACACACACACCACTCGCACTCGCACTCGCACGCGACTTAAGCGGGGTTCAGGAGTCGCTATATAATCAAATGCTGTGGCACTTCATTTGCCGGGGATTGGCCGATTGCCCCCTGCCCACAAGGACATAATCCCAAAGCCGCCCACTTGTTGGGGACTCGACCGCAGGAGAAATTCTACACAGAGGGAAAAACTAATAGTAATAGTTTTTGATTTTTAAGGTTTTAATGGTTGTAATCAAGTCAATACGTTTGGAGATCAATAAGCCTTAACTACAAAAATGTTAACGTTTTCTGAGCCCTTAAATCTTTTCAAATGCTAGTAGCTTTATCACGATTTCGTTTTCTGATTTAGTTTCTTCCTAAGTAGAAGTTATAG